AAGAGCGTCTTTTACAACTCCTAAATCCTTTAAATGTAAATTGCCATGCAAGTGATGGCAGAAGATCTACTCCATTGCATTTAGCTGCTGGATACAATAGATGTAGAGTGGTGCAAATTTTATTGCAAAATGGTGCAGATGTACATGCAAAAGATAAAGGGTAAATGTTACTAATTGTAACGTATCTATGACGTAGTTATTAAAAATTTGTATGGAATAATTCGTTTACAATAACAATGTTGTAGAGGTCTTGTCCCACTTCATAATGCTTGTTCATATGGCCATTTTGAAGTGACTGAAGCACTTCTTAAACATGGTGCAGCGGTTAATGCCAGCGATTTATGGGCATTTACTCCACTACACGAAGCTGCTAGTAAATCCAGAGCCGAAGTGTGCTCGTTACTTCTAAGCGAGGGTGCCGATCCAACTCAATTAAACTGCCACAGTAAAAGCGCCATTGACGTAGCTCCGACATTGGAATTACAAGAAAGATTGGCATGTATGTTTCCTATGTCAATAGTACTCTTCTAGAAAAGCACACAGAACATGATTTTGTTAGATACACTTTAATTGTAGACGAATATAAGGGACACTGCCTCTTGGATGCCTGCAGGCAGGCAGATCTTACTAAATTAAAAAAGTACCTGTCCCAAGAAGTTGTAAACTTTAAACACCCATACACAGGGGATACACCACTGCACTGTGCCGTTGCATCTCCTTATCCCAAGAGAAAACAAGTAATAGAATCTTTAATTAGGAAAAATGCTGCCTTAAATGAGAAAAATAAAGACTTTCTTACACCTGTTCATGTTGCTACTGATCATTCTCATTATGATGCAATGGATGTGCTACTTAGACATAATGCAAAAGTCAATGCTTTAGATGGATTAGGGCAAACTGCACTACACAGGTACCGTGAATTGTCTAGAACATTTAAAGATTTTTATTTTTTTATTTTATGAAAAAAATATGTAATTTCCCTACTTAAAAAATATTGTTGCATAAACAGGTGTGTTAGAGAAGACAATGTGCAAGCTTGCAGAATATTGTTATCATATAATGTTGATCCATCTATAGTATCACTTCAGGGCTATACTGCAGCACAAGTAGCTGCAGAAAATGTCCTTAAAATATTACAAGGTTCGAAACTAATTCACTTCAGATACGAAGAATTTTTTCAACCGAAGAATGTTTCTGTTCTTATTTTTGTTTTATAGATCCACCGAGCGGGACAGATGACGCGGAAGCACAGCTGTTAGAAGCGAGTAAATCTGGCGATTTGGCGGCAGTGGAAAGAATTTTACGAACGAATCCATTAGCTGTTAATTGTCGTGACTTGGATGGTCGACACTCCACACCGCTGCATTTTGCAGCGGGATTTAATAGAGTGCCTGTAGTCGAATATTTATTGGCACATGGAGCAGATGTACACGCCAAAGATAAAGGGTTAGTAGTTTATTATAAAATATATTACTTACAATAATTTAAATAACAATTAAAGTAAATAATTAATTTTATATATTTAGTGGACTTGTTCCCTTACACAATGCCTGCTCTTATGGTCATTACGAAGTAACAGAATTGTTAGTAAAGCATGGTGCGTCGGTGAATGTTGCGGATTTATGGAAATTTACTCCCCTTCACGAAGCTGCTGCTAAAGGAAAATACGAAATTGTTCGTCTGTTACTAAGACACGGAGCAGATGCCACTAAAAAAAATAGAGATGGAGCAACACCTTTAGATCTAGTAAGAGATGGCGATCAAGACGTAGCCGATTTATTACGAGGGAACAGTGCACTTTTAGATGCAGCAAAGAAAGGAAATTTAGCGAGAGTACAGCGACTTGTTACACAAGACAATATTAATTGTAGGGATGCACAAGGTCGTAATAGTACGCCGTTACACCTAGCCGGTAAGTTTCGTTAATTTTTATATTCCTCTCTCCTTTTCTTCGCATTGATCCATTTAATTTAATTTGCTAATATTTTAATACAGCTGGATACAATAACTTGGAAGTAGCCGAATTTTTGCTTGAACGTGGAGCTGATGTAAATGCTCAAGATAAAGGAGGATTAATTCCTTTGCACAATGCTTCAAGTTATGGTCATTTAGATATCGCTGCATTACTTATTAAATATAATACCGTAGTAAACGCTACTGACAAATGGGGCTTTACACCACTTCACGAAGCAGCACAGAAAGGGAGGACGCAGCTGTGTGCTCTTTTATTGGCTCACGGTGCAGATCCTTTCTCGAAAAACCAGGAAGGGCAAACCCCTCTGGATCTAGCTAGTGCTGATGATGTAAGATGCTTATTGCAAGATGCTATGGCTTCTCAACAAGTAGTACCATCGATACCATCTGGTAACACTGGTGTGGGAGTTGCCATTAACTTAAATAATAATGGTAATAATACAATTAACAGTAGGCCACCCAGTATTGTTGCGGGTAAATGTATTTTAATTATAGTATATGTACAATTATGACTATATTTATATATTTATTTATTATTAAAATTTGTTCAGTTCCAGTTACACCACCACCACCACTTACTCAGGAGACTGTTATCATGCCTTCTGGAACGGCTATGACACTATGCGTACCACTTGCGAGACCATCTTCCTGTTTGAGTCCAATGCCACCATCTGAATCATGTTCCGAAAGGGATTCCAAAGATTCTAAAGACAATTCGAATATCACGACTGTTGCTGGTTTTCTTCAGAGCCTTGGTTTAGAACATTTATTAGAATTATTTGAACGCGAACAAATTACGTTAGACATATTAGCAGAAATGGGTCATGAAGATCTGAAACAAGTTGGAGTGTCTGCGTATGGTTATAGGCACAAATTAATTAAAGGCATGGAAAAGCTTTTAAATACAACTGCTGGCACTCCTTGGCAACCGACTATTACGCCAGGCACGTTACTGGTAGACCTATTAGCAGAAGATAAAGAATTTTTAGCTGTAGAGGAAGAAATGCAGAGCACCATTCGACAGCATAGAGATAATGGTCATTCTGGTGGTATATTTTCTCGATATAATATTGTTAGGGTACGTTCATTATACAGCGTTATAAAATAACTACAATTTTATTTAACAATTAATCTATTTATGATTTTCTAATAATAGATACAAAAAGTGCAAAACCGTAAATTATGGGAACGTTATGCGCATAGAAGACAAGAAGTTGCTGAGGAAGTTGGCGCGGCAGCACCTTCTTCTCCGAGTACTGGATCTAGAACTACTCCTGGATCGAGCCTGCCACAAGCGAATGAAAGGATGTTATTTCATGGTAGTCCATTTATTAACGCCATTGTCCAAAAGGGTTTTGATGAGCGGCACGCGTATATTGGCGGTATGTTCGGCGCTGGAATTTATTTTGCTGAGCATAGTAGCAAAAGTAATCAGTACGTATATGGAATATGTGGAGGTACTGGATGTCCAGCTCATAAGGATCGAAGTTGTTACATCTGCCATAGGTAAGTATTTAAAAGCAATCGAGTTTTAAATTATATAATTACAGTTATTATTTCTTATATCTTTAATATAATATGTATCATTTGTAGACATTTATTACTTTGTCGTGTTACACTGGGAAAGTCATTTTTGCAATTTTCCGCGATGAAAATGGCTCATGCACCACCAGGACATCATAGTGTAATGGGTAGACCATCTCAAGGTGGCCTAGCTTTCCCCGAATATGTAGTCTATAGAGGTGAACAAGCATATCCAGAATATCTTATCACGTACCAAATTGCAAGACCTCAGCAAGAAAGTGGTGGAAATGAAAGTGTTGAAGAACGGTGATCAGAAGAGTCTAGCCCAGCGGCAAGGTTGCGAAGTCTTTGTTGCTGCCAGAGACCTCGAACATGTAACACTCTGTCTTGAATCTGGTTGAAACAAATTACGATTTCATTTCGGAATCAATTCTTCCATTTTTTATCTTCTTTAGATGAAGTAGGAAAGGTCGTTCAAATGAATTTACAATACAGTGATAGATGAATTTTATCGATATCTATGTATATATATGTATGTGTATATATATACATACATGTATATACAAACGCGCGCTCACACACACACACACACACACACACACACACACACACACACACACACCGAATCTGTTCATTGAACGTGACGAAAAGAAGACAATTGATAGGACATTTAATTTTTAGCATTTATTTTGTGATAATATACTGGTCTAATTTGACCATGCAATCGTATACATGGCTGATTATTGATGTATATTGACTGCAGTGTATATATATCAGTATGAATTAGAATATATCGGAGACCAGCATGATTTTTTATGTAAATTTACGTGTCGATGAATGTATGTTTATCTTCATATTCATACATACGAAATATTATTTTAATCATCACATCTAATTGTCGGATGAGTGTGATGTGAAATATCTTTAAAAAAAGTCGCATATGTTTGAGGGAAAAAAAAGTATAGTATTTCTACGTCAATTTCGAAGTAAATAATTGTGCTGGTTAAAGCAGTTACTTCAATTACATACGTTATGGGTAAAGTCCATAGATAAATATTTAATTTGTAAATAACTAGAAATATGTTATAAGTCTTCATAATATAATCACAAGCACAATTTGCAGTATGGAGTCAATTTATTATTGATGAAGTTACGAAAAGCTACATCTTCCTAACATTAAGACGAATTAGTTGAATCGAATCATAGATGATTCTGTTCATGGTAGACTAATTGATATAATTAATACAACGAATGGTATTATATTTAGTATTTGTATCGTTCGCACAGAAATCTTCGTTTCATCGCATAAAATCCGATTTAAACTTTCACTTTAAACCAAACTTTGGACTTTACTTATAACATGTATATACATACGCGAGTATTTTATATATTCGGTTGATATTTCGGACATAGAATAAATTCGTTCGTGTTGTCGACATTATCAACAGGGTTCCTATAAGCTCGTAATAATTTCGAAAACTGTACATAAATATACATTTTATTGTACGTATATTTCTTCTTTTTCACGAACACACCGATTACATTCGTTTATCGTGTTTTTTATTATTCTTGTATGCATAAGTTTGGATTTTTTTTTTCTCAGGTGACGAAAACAATGTGTGTTATATTTTTCCATTCAATTTTTATCGCAAATATATATTTTCATTCATTAAAGTACACAACGAAGCCACTCTTTTCTTGTACGTCTATAGCCGTATAAATATTAAAATTACAAGTAAAATTGAAATATTTTAATATCAGTTGGTCGAATTCAATCATGATTTTGTATATTTTATTCTGTTATATAAAAAAAAGAATATCAAACAATGAACTCAATATTTTATACATATAAAAGTATTCTTATCATTATTTATTGAAATTGTTGAAGTGATCTCTTTAGATAATAGAAACAATCTTGCTTTGATTAATTCACGGCATTATTCATACGCGTATGCGTTCGAATAATATGGAGACCACATCATGTAATACAAACGAAAACGAAAAATGCAGAAATATGCGAATTTATAATTGTACGAACGTGAAGTACAAGAAAACAGATGTTTTCATGGTATCTGGACACATTCTTAATAATTATTTAGGTGACGGTTTTATTTATGGGTGTATATATCGAATATGTGTTCGTTAAATAAGTGCTCAAGAAACTGATGCAACAAATCAACATTTGTTAATTCTGCGCTCTTACACGAAGACACGAACCAAGTATTGTAAACTAACACATGAAAAATTCTGTCCTTGTATTTACTGTATTCGACAGTCGATGAGCGTATTCAATTACTATGCTTCGACTGTAAGAAGATAGACTGATTCTAAGAAAGAAAAAAATCGTTTTACTGTTACATCCGATTTTATACTTTTTTTTCTTCATTTTTGTTTTTTCCTTACTACTAATTTCATTTTTTTTTTTCTTCTTATTTTTTCAATTAGGGAAGATACACATTTACGTATCAGTAAACGCAGCCGGTAGCAATGTGTGAAAGAAAATAATGATGGAATATCAAACTAATGCTTTTTCTTTGTATAGTAATTTCTTGACATTTTGTCACGCCCTCAGGTATATCAAATTTTCGTTTGTAATCTGTTGTCGCTTATGACAATAGACTTAACGGAGCAAGCTAGAATATAATAGAAAGTTTTACATTGAAGAAATGCGGCAGAGTGTCGGGTTACCAAGGGAGCTCATTTATACCTGTGTTTATCTATGTTTCAGACAATGATGAAGAACTAAATGACTCTGTTTCATTTCTGTGATGTACAGTCATTAAATAATTTATACACATCTTTTAGGAAATTTTTCGTCAGCGATAATGTTATTTTATTAAGAGAATCAGGTAGTAATATCTTTTCAATTATTTTTATCAATATACAATTTTTAAATGCTATTCTTATAACAAATATTGTAAGTTATTTTTCTTGTAATTTTTATAGAATAGGCAAACAATCCTGGTTTATTCTATGATTCATGATTTTTGGATATACAACAAAAAAAAATTTGGATATACAAATAGTTGCGAAAGATGGCTTAAAAAGATTCAAGTATGGCAGCCAAATATCTAGCTGGTTCTGTTATAGAACAGAGAGACTTACCTAGAAATAAATAGAACGTGCTATCATATAGCAGTTCTTCAATGTATAACATATTTTTATCTTATATTTTTCTAAGTAATGTAAACGCTACATATTGGTACCATATGAACATTTTTTAGGAATACAATTTCCCGTTTCACTGTAAATTTAAATTCAAACAAACAGTATCATATGTTACTTAATTATCGAATTTTTACAATATAAAATAATGAAACTTACTTATTAGTTTCCTGCATTTTACAATGTTATATTTAATAGGTTATTTCAAAAAATGACTATAATAACTCCTTTGGTTAATATAAAATAGGACAATCGTACGGAATCATTATCAACATTTACAAATTTTATTTTTAGGGGATGTTTGGATGAAATATAATAAAAGTTCAGGTAAAAACCGGTATTACTTGATGATCGCTAACATTGCTATCCTACTCTTTTCTTCGTTGATATTAACTTCTGGCCTACGAAGAGACACTGTCTAACATAGAATACTAACATTAAGCACGTGGACTAGAAGGCTTTCTGATTCGTAGATCTGGCGAAATCACGTGAAGTGCACGAGATTAAGGCAACGCATGCGCAATAGGAGAATGCCGGCTCTTCGGCGACGTACCGTCGGATGACACTCACGCCGGTGCTTTTAGACGCAGTCGGAAAGAGGAGGAGGTTAGATCGCGCGATTCGCGACGATACCAACGCTGGAGGTACTTCAGTATCCTCTTGCGTTCAAGACTAATTCCACGGAAATAAATCCGTAAGTGTCGCATAACGAGTAACAAGAGAATGACGCAAATTTCGTAACATTGAAGAAATTGGCACGAACGATGCACTACGTCGTCTTCGCCACGTGAACACTACCAGTCTGTTTCGTCGCTCATATGCCGGTAATTTGCATTCAATTCGTCCGTTTCGTTTTATTTCGGTTCTTTTCGATTGATTCCTTGTATTTGCATTTGAGGAAACCAAATAGTTAGGTAGACAAAAATCTGCCGGCGTATTACGATGTGCTCATTTCAAATGTTTTAAAAAGACCTATTGCATTACAAAGTCCGAAGATATTTTTGTTATTGACGATATTGAAGGCTGGACAAAAAACGTGACAAGATTTAAGAAGAATATGTAGAAAATTGTGCGCGTTCAGAAGAGAAACTAAGAAGGCGTGAGTGCATAAGAACCGAACACGATTCCCTTAACGAAGAATCTAATCGTCCAGTTTCATTCCACTTCTGAGTGGTAGGGTTCTTCAGTCCAAAAAATATGTGAGTACTGGTATTTTCGTTACATCTTTCTATACTTGATTTTGAGTTTATTACAGCAAAACAATTAATAATTTAGTATCAACACCAATTCACATTAAATTATCTTTTGTCATTATTTAAAAAGTGCATTAGGTGCTAGTCTGCATTCCGACTATACAACATGCGCAATTAATTGATTCGCATCGCGGTCGATGCCATACGAGAATGAAAACATTCGGCTGCGCATTGGCGACAATTTCTTATGTAATACAAGCGCGTTGAATTACACAATTGATAGCCCGTTGCAGCATTATGCAGTTATAAAATTTAGATAAAATTCATTTGTAGTCTTGTCCTCCTATGTTGTTAATAGTAGTACCATATTATCATCAGTACGGACCAGTCAACCTTGTTTACAAACAAACTGTGAGATAACATTTGTAGTGAATATATGACGAATGTCACGTAGAAAAGAGCGTTTATCGGGTGACGTTATTATCTCACGCATGTATCACGCGATCGTAGTTCCAAATTTACCCGTTAGTTGCGTCAGAGAAACAATGCACGAAATTTGCGCGCACGCATGTGCACTCTGATTGGCAGACCACGTGTGTAAGATAATTGACCTGAAAAATGACAATATTTGTATATATGAGAGGCAACGAAAGCTCCAGAAAGCTCGAGGGGCTGCATTTCAAAGAAATGCTTTTATCGTCCAATGAAGAAAGGAAATTGACACGACTGATTAGCGGTTATGGCCGAGAAGTACATTATTAGCATCGTTTATTGTTTAATCTCCGACGTTTTGAATGACGCGAAAGAGAGACAGATTAGCTGGCTCCTGACCTCGTGACAACGGAAATAATAAATAAATATTGCCCACGATTTGTTTTACAATTTTTCTTTTTTCGTTTATTGCTGATTATAACTACATATGTATGTATTTTTAATTCACGTGATTCGAGAGCAGTTTCGAAGATTTTAAAAATACGATTTTACGAGAAATCGGTCTTCATTTTGATTAGGGTAGTAGGACTCTTTAAATTTAATTTATCGCCAATTTAGAACTAATCAATTCAGTGTTCGTTCTATAAACAATCTGTACTTATTTTTTTTTACAAACAGATATTTTTATATAACGATGCATAAGGCTCCAAAGAAACTCGATTTCTTTTGATGGAGAAACATTGTCATTGTAACTTATCAAGAGAGTATTGAAATAATTTAAATATATAACATAACATTAGTAGTGACTCGCAAGGATCGCGTTCGAGGCTTGTTAGCCGATTTCTTCTCGTAACCGGCTTGACTGCTCTTTTAAAATACATTTTGTTCGTTTTTACGCGTGCATGCCCGCGTGTTTGGTACCCCCTCACCAAGTACTCGTGTTTTCCGGTCACTCGTCTCTCCTTGGACGCCTACTTGAGGAGGACAGTTGTATGAACACAAGACGAATTGTCTGCACGTATTATTCCCACGCGTGTACCACGACACTATGTACTTCCGGAGAAAGCGCAGAGAAAATGTTGCAATTTGCATTTATTACGATATACTGTGTAAATCCTTTGTGTATATTTTGACGAATCTGTAAATACTACTTGTTACAGTCGTTTCGATATTAAGGCCCGTTGAATGGTTCACTATGTACTATAATAATCCAAAGCTTGCACTGCGATTGGTAATGGTAAAAGTTTTATACCGTATGCAACATGTATGCGATATGTAAATCAATTTTTTCTTCTAATTGATATAAAGTATTCTAAAATGTATACGTCGATACCGTCCATTAGCTTCAAAGGAAGTAACTCTATCATAAGGTGAACGTGTGATAGAGTTTGTCGCCCCCTTGTAACTTACGTAACTCTTGATCGTTTTAAAAGCGTTTGCTATTTGGTTTTAGGAGCCAACATGTGCATGTGTTCCGTGGACGTTGTTGCATCGCACTGTTGGTCTTGTGTGCCTTTCTATGTAATATCTATTTAAAGGTACAACCATTTATCTGAGTGGGGTAGATCAGTATTGGTCTCTAGAGATAAATGTTCTTAGGTTATTCAAAAATTTAAATGTCTTAATCGTTGAAATAGATTTTTTAAATGAATGGCTGCTCGACGAGAAACATACATTGTGCACATATATATATAATGCATACTTATGTATGTATTTAGTTACGTGATTTATGCATCAATATTGTATCAGACTTTCACGGTTTATTGTTCCACATATAAATCAGAAAGACCAGAGGTTATCTTCGCCCATACGAGAATCTCAATGTTTCTTAACGTAATTACATTCTAAACGCGACACGGCCTTATCAAGCGTATAAATTTAGAATTACAGTAGCTTGTATGTATTTTAATCAAGTCGACCATGATATCTTGAACATCACGTCCGCTAATTTTTATCAATTAAAAAAGAGATCATGACCCAGTCGTGTCATACTTTATAAGAATCTTGAACAATTTTTCACGCAATTGAACGATATTTGCTTTACCCATAAGATTGAATTCTCATAGTGACTTGAAAACCTAGTTGTAACATATTTAGATCCATGATCGATGATGATCGATAGCATCATCGATCACAAGAATATATTTTTGTTGTGAAAATAAAGAGGATATTCGAATAGAAACTACTTAAAAATTTGAAAATTTGTCGATTAAAGAAATTTGAAGGTCTAAAACTTTTAATTCGAAAATGAAGAAATTCAAAGATTTAAATATTTGAAACTTCAAACTGCAAGTAATTTTCTTTACAGATGACGCGTAATTTTTAACGCTTCTCGTAAGGAGAACGCATTGGTATCGATACCATTTATCTTGGCACACGCTTTTTCCTTCTTTTATTGATGGAAAGAAGCATCTCGCGAGATCTACGCTCGCGCGCAGCGTGCGTTGCGCGTTTCTTTATGGTTTCGGCGATTAAACTTTGTTCGGTAAGATTCCGCACTTGAGGGTGTACAAGCGGCAAGGATATGTCGGTTATCGGGCTGCTTCGAACCAGAAACGCGACGTGATAACAAGCAGAGGACCGACATCGGCGGCGCCTTCGATCGCTGAAAAATACCGATCCCCGAGAACTTTTACGATCTTAGCCAATAGCTTGTAACGGGCCAGTGGTAGCAATGATGGATCATCCGATAAGATTTTTAGAAATGTTCCTTAGACACGTGGTCGCTTCGTGGTCTTAACAACACGTAGTCGTGTACGTGATCAAATATGAACGTTTCATGGGCCACTTCTTGATTATTCTAGCTGTTTGATTAGTTTTTGGGTTACCAAAAAACCTGTGTATACATATATAATGTTAATTTTCGTTTTGCTCTGTAATATTCATAAAATGGATCTTCAATTTTATTCACAAAGTATTTGACCTATTTTTTTACAATGGATAATATCGTTTCTTACCTTGTTTGTCAGCAACCTTCCTGTTTTACAATGCAGTGTCGGATCATGATATATTATGCGTTTGTTTTAACAAGAAGCTGTTCAAGGATGAGTAGAATTAGCACATATTTCTCAAGGTTGTTCTTTAATGAAGTGTAGCTCGATAGGAGCTGGTGCTATAAAAAGAAGATATTCAAATTTTGCCAACCGGTTTCTCTACCATTTTGTATATGCGGTTCTTGACTCTTTTTCCTCTCATAAGAGATGAACCGGTTGCGAAGAATTCTTTTCCAATTGAATATTTATATTTTGCTAAAGCAAACAACTTTTATGACTTCTAATTTTTAAAAAGCAGTTTTTCGTCAATTTCGCGAATTCTTTAGTATAAAAAACTTATCAGGATGGTAAAAAACTGGATATATGAAGATAAATCGATAATTCATTTTATTATTACCAGTAATAACCGTTCTTAATAATCCATGTATCTGTAAATAGCTGCCGTCTTATTATCATAGGTCAGTCATGCTCAAAGGTTTCGTTCGCCGGAGTCATTAAGATCTCCTCAATATACATAACATTCTTTCCTTTTTTCATAACGTGGTGTATCTGAAGCTATGAATATTTTTATGTACTCTCGGGTCTACATTATCGATGTATTATATAATATTATGTAATAAAACGATTTGCATAATTACAGCGGATATATTATTAAAAGAAAATAAACAAATATCGAAGCAACAAGCTTTAGCGGCAGAAATAATTTACATACTTACTCAATTGTTTCTCTTATTATCAATGTATTACTTTCCATTAACGTAATTATGATATACTATTACAATAGTTCTCAGGTTGGTGCCATGTTTGCATACAAATTAATTGAGAGGGTTGATTAATTAGTAACCAAAGAAATACATCAAAACCTCTCTGAATTAATGCCAGTGTTTTTTATCTGATAAGCGTTGGCTTATTACAGACAGATAAACAAGAATCACGCAATGTTTTCCAGAATTTTTGTTTCAATTGTTAATTAAATACTTCATCGCTGTATTAAAGTTTCATGGCATATCCGATTTTAACTTGTAGTCACAGATTTCTTGCTATTTCCATGAAATTGTACATGTTTAATGCGTTATTCAGTGATCTATTAATTAAATAATTAAGCATTAATTAATTACCTCATAAGAGTTTATTATATGCTGTGTTATCGATTAGTGATATTTCTGACTTAATAATTTTGCGAAATTTCTGTCGTCTGTGATGAGTCAAGGACTTGTATATTTTCTGTCTTTATTGGATTAGTCGTAGTCTAATTCCACACGTGACTCTCAATAACCCGCGACCTCTTCTTATCTGCAGCGATTGATACCAATTAACAATAGGAGTGAATTTCATCATAATTGAAACGATCGTATTGAAATACGTTACTTTTTGCGGCGACGCTTGTTAGATAACGCCCGCTCAATATGTAATCGCTTTCGACGAGGATTAAAAATAATATTGTATCAATGTTAATGACTGGAAAACGTGCACGCTTTACAGTGGTTCTCCATTTACTTCAAAGACAGTTTATGTCGTTGCATCATCAACTACGAGACAAAAAATGCATATAAATTTGTTAGTGAATAGTACCTTTCATTTTAAATCGTAGAAAGGTTATAGAATGCTATTGCGCTTGCGTAGTGCATTAGTAACCAGTGACTATGCATGTGGACCTTTCGAATATCGTAGAATAAAATGCGACACTAAATAAACACAACAGGTATAAAAAAAAGTGAAACATAGATCAAATTACCTTTCGATCCACCAGACAGTTATTTTAAGCAATCGTCCGTTGGTAACTAAACGTCACGAGCTAACGTCATTTATACACATACACACGTGTCTAGCGGTAGATCTCACGTAACTTTACGGACCATTTAGGTCTATGGGTTATTTGCTGTGCGCTCACAGGTCGATAAACCAACTTCGTAAAGTCAATAGAATCCCATTTCTTCCCTTTCCTCGAAAATTCATTGGTCAGAGTTTACACAAGTTAGCATTTTGGTTTTCGACCACGGGAAATCGTGATAAACTCGTGTATCATAGAAGTCAGACAATTGGACTGGTTCCAAGGGCGTAACGCGTCTCAGTGTATGTAGCGTTTTGAAGATGCGCCACGCTAATTTTAATCGTGGTATCGCTCGAAATAGCGCGACGACTGCGCACTTTTCCTTCTCGAGTCACGAAATGTGAACATGCTTTATTCATGACAAAACCATTCGACCAACTTTATTGGCGATCTACTTTTGATCTTTTTAATGCCGTTTGATTAATTATGTCCAATTATTATATATACATAAAGTCAGTTTACAAACGCTGGTTGATAATACACGAGACTTATCAGTAGCTTAAAAAAGAAACAGACACTCAAAATAGTCAAGTTAACAGATTGTCTGGGTTAAGAGACGGTCCGGTATTATCATTTTGGTCGCGTCGTGTTCCATTCAATGTGATTCACGATAACTTATTATAAAGTTGTCCCAACAACGAATTATGAAATACTACGATTGAAACGATGCATTGTCTCGGGTGCAACTAACGATTATATAACCTAGTGTGTATATTTTTTATTGACTTTTTAACCTATAAGAACAAACGATTCTTTCAAACTAGTTAATATACATATTGTTGTTTTTCGTATTTGTGTTATTCGTACAATGTTTCGCCATCTTGCGACAATAAGGGTTACTTTACGTAAAGGTTACATCATATTGCGAGTTTCTCGCGCGACACTTTCCATACATCGATGATTTAGTCACGTGACAGCTTTACTTCTAATACTGTGAACAATGCCCTCTATAAATCGATAATCGCACAAGGTGGATTCGGACCTCCTACCAGTAATGTAGTTCGTCTAATGCGCTCTTTTATGGATTCTTTTCTTATTGATCAGAAGAGTTTTACATTATGTGTTTGCGGGTATATACATTTTGTATGCTTATTAATCAGTTTCGAGAACTGTGGCGCCTCGATATATTGAGGACACGAAAGTTTATCATCGGGAATAAAAATTTTGCGTCGAAAAATTGATATCGACCTATTCTGACTTCTATGTACGTTACGTCATAAGATAAAGAATGCAGAGCAGTTATAATTATTTTCGACGTAGGTACGATAATATTATATACATGCTTAATCATTCCAAAATTTGTTTAAAGTTATTGAAATTTTAAAATCTCGATTATTCGATACGGTAATTCTCGATTATCACAGTATTTTATTTTCAAAAATATTGTGATTTTTTTATGTAATTTTCAAAGTAAAAACATTATATTATTTGATAATTGTAAAGCTGTACTGATATAGTTAAATATATTTCAGCAAACTTCTGTTTATTCGAAGATTTTCACGTGAAGAGTTTTACAGCATTGAGAGCATAGATCACATGATGAGTGTCAAGCATGGAAAATTTCCCATCTAATATAAACCTAACCTCGCGTAATCACAATCGACTCACTTGCTAGTGAAACTTTTATTCTCAAATTAATCAGTTATCAGCTGAACAACAACTATTGTGTAACAACTTGCAGGAGTTCTATGCTCAATGACAGTTGGAAAATTTTGTTCCGGAATGTTGCAAATGTTGCTGATGAGTTTACGAATTAACGAGACAAATCTTATGACATGAGATAAGCTACATGTGTAAATATCGACATGACACGAGCGTTGCACTTCTTGTAGAGACATGGCAGCGCTGAGTCGAAAGTGTCACTAAGGATCGTGCAGCAAACGAGATAAGCGTTTACTTTTTCTTCTTCCACTTTTTAAAGCTTATTGCAGACTATACAGTTTGACCCTGACACCTCGTTCGCGTAATGATAAACAATACTCAAGAATGTTCGTTTTGACCTCGACCCTTTGTTATTCATGACACATGTAGACAGTGTTATATGACATATTGCGTTTAATATGTGTTTTTTATAAATTTCATTATCAGAACGTTTTTTTGTTATTATATAAAATTAATGAACGAATGATAACTGTAGGAGGCGTAAATATATACTTTTCCATAGTAGTGTGCCTGAAAATTAAAATATTTATAAAAGGAGGAAGATATCTGATTTTTTCTCTGTGAATATGATAACCTTATTGTTGCCATTTGTATCGATAGGGGAAATCGACTAGAAATAGAAATGGTGGACATGGCAGGATAAGTTTAAGTAGTGAAACTCGAAACATCCGATTCGTGATATTGCTATAGGCACTTGCCGTGCACGCGTACTTGCTTGGTTCCGGTCTGGTACGTGTCGAGTCTGGTTCGCAAGCAAGTCTCGAGGGACGAGAGAAGAGACTATTGCCACATTTAAAAGTCGTAATTCCACTCCCGGAGTAACATGACCACACGCATCTATCCTGTCGCGCAAAATACTTTACTGTGATAGAGTTGTACAAAATTTTCAATCTGCGTTATTCTTCAGAGTAAAAGCGGCAAAATTATATTCCACTGGCTAAATTAAGAACCAATAATAAAGTATCGAGTTATTCAGTGAAAGTAAAGAATCTCTCGTTGCACTTGACTTACGTTATAGGAAGAATTCAATTTGCTAGTAACGTAAGTTTAAAATAGAAATTCAAAGAATTGTTCTGTTTCATAATGATGTTTCCTATAGAGGAAAACCTGACTTTTATATTTTTTCACAAGTCAGTTAAATATTGAGTCATTATTCTGTAAGCTCGTATAAAATTTCATTGAGACAGACTTATTCATATATCTACAAATATTTGTCTAATCTGAATAATTTCGGATTTATTCGCGTCATAACCCAAAATGATTCACGTGATCCGACGTGATGCGTTCTTGTAATATTGTTGACGAAATTTTTGGCAGTGAACGGCGCACGTTGCTTGCTATTAAAGGATTGGCGCTTAGGTCATTCATGCAACACGAATTCCAGTTTTGCTAGTGTGTCTGGCAAAAGCTCTTTGCTATGTGAAATTGGGTCTCGTTGTTCAAGTTGAAATGAAAAAAATTGTCGATAATCGAATAGGATAACGACTTTAATTTTAGATTAATTAGTATTTATAGTGTTCCGCTTGTTAATTTAGAACAATTCATATTAACATGTTCTACAAACTGATATTAAAGATAAAATTTTCTTAATGTAATATAAAAAGAGAGATTAATAACGAACTGAATACATCTACCATTTTCATGTATATAAAATTTTAAAAAAATTATAATTAAATTTTATAGTGATATGGAACCTGTTAATAGTTTAAATATATTAGTTGAAAATGATATTTCAGAAAATAAGACATATTTCTTTTTTTCAGATCTAAATGTGTTCCATAGCGATGCCAGCTGAGCTGCTTCTGGGGCATAGTCCTCCAGTGTACAATCCATTGCTGTACAGTCCTCTGGTGGTAACGGCACCAACGATTACTAGCAGATCGGTGCCACCCAGAATAAGGCCATGTTTGTCATCTGGTTCCTTGGCCATAGATAGCATTCGAAACAGTAACGATGGTGGCAGTAATAAACAGAAAAAGAGGGTGGTATTTGCCGATGATCGTGGTCGTCCTCTGACACAGGTATTCGATCTTAACTCCTACCTTATTTTGACTAATTCTAAAAATAACTAAGATAACAATGCATGTATTGAAGGATTAATTCGAGTTTTTATTTATATAAGATATTCTGTAGTTTTACTTGAAAATAGATTGAGAATGTAAAATACAATATCTCCTAGTTTAAGGAGAAAAAGCTACTTCATGTTCATTCAACTCTTTTGTTTTTAGGTACGTGTAATGTCAGAACCCAGTAACGTACCACCTCTGTGGAGCACAGCTTACCTAGCTGGATTAACTGGACGACTTCTAAATACGAAAATCGAGAATGAACAGCCTGTAGAACTCATGTCACTTTGGCAAGTAACTTTCCCCCAGCCAGCGAGCGATTATCTCGCCTTTCGTCGGAAACTCGATCAGGAGAATGTCAGCTTGGAAAACGTGATAGTGAGAGAGTCGGAACAGTGTCTGGTGGGCACCATCAAGGTCCGTAATATAGCGTACGACAAGGAAGTCGTGGTCAGGGCGAGCAACGATTCTTGGAAAACACACGAGGACGTACATTGCACTTACGTTGAACAGCCAGGTTTACCAGCTCTAATTTTGTACGACACCTTCCGCTTTCGATTAACTTTACCATTGAAATCAAACCTGATAGAATTTTGCGTACGATATCGAACTGATGGGAAGGAATATTGGGACAACAACGAGGGAAAAAACTTTATCGTCCGCAAGAAGTTAGAGGTATATATATTTAATTTCACTTTCTAAATCCAGAAATATAAACCTTTTCTTTATATTTCATATATTATTTGTATAACTTTATTGCAACTTTATTTTGTCCTATTATTCACTATAATTATTCGCAGTAGTTAAATATAATATCTAAAAAGTAATTTCCATCTTACAGCCACGAGCACCGGCCAAACGATACGATATTCTGACGACAGCGTGTGACGGTTTCTCAAGCAATGGCATCCGAGATAGTATACCGCGAATCACAGATGCGACCAGGGCGAACGTACGCACGTGGAGTGAATTTGCGTCCTGGCAACACCTTACAAACGATGCCCCATACTGGTGAATCCTCGTCACTGGTCACAAACGATGTACGAAAGTCGTACGAATTCTTCCAGTCCACTTGATTTAAAGATCACGAGACGTAGATCACGCGGGACGAGGTGGCATTGCACACAGCACATGCAGTATACACAAGATGGTTGTACGAAACATGTGTATATCTACGTGGGAGTGCATATTATACGGGTGCCAGGAACAAGAGAACGGAGAAGAGAACAATTTCAAAAGGAGGGAAGCGATGAACTACGATTGAGTTCAAATTATAGAAAGACATGCTTGGGCGGAAGAGAGAGACGTAATCGGAGGTCGATAGCGTTGAACAGGCGAGAAAGGAGGCACTGGTCGCGTTACATTTATGGTAAGTTGATCTTGTTCGACGTTATACAGCCTACTATACACATATAGCGATCATATAGCGATCATTCACTACAATTTTTGTGTTACATTTTATTGAACTCTTCCTTGCAAGCAACAGTTTTTTATTAAATCTTTGCAACAGGTAAAGAAGATTAAAAATACAATGAGCTTCATGAACTTGGGAACTACTTACTATTACAAAGATATAGAGGATAGAGTATAAACAAATCCATTGGTAATTTACTAATATTAAATGATAACGTTTTTGCGATGTCATTTTGAAACAGCAAGTGTAATGTTGTAGTTTATAATACTGTCAGCACACGTGTATCAACCTCGTACATATTTTTAGGAGTCGTCCTTGTGTGTGACACAAGAAAGGGTCGAGGGAAAAGAGAAGGATATTACCGGCACGCAATCAGCATAATTCTGTGATTCGAATCACGAGTAACGCGGTGGAGATCCTTTCTAAAGCCTAAATCGCCTTGAAAATTTGCGAAGAATTAGCATGCCGCGGTGTGTTGTATCTTTTCTCTGTCCTTGCACGCATGGCATATACACGCTTAAACTTTCTCTCTATAAATAACAATCTGGCGTGGTACGACGATAAGAACCGCGACTGGCGAGTCGCCTGACTCTAATCGCCTTAACTAAAGGTTGTTACCACGCATGACAAGATACATACATTTCTTCGTCATCGTTTCTTTTCTTCTCCTTTTTTTTTCGTTAAGTTAGTTTCATACACGGTTTAGTTAGGATTATATAAGGTGGTTTAGGAATTGCATCGGGAAATCTATTGATTTTCATATCTTGAATTTTAAGGGATAATTTCTACTTTAAAAATTAATTTGTTGTATATTGAATTTATTTTGTAAGTTAATTCATTGTAATGATTTTAGATCTGTTGTAGGCAACTATGAATGCCCCTTTACGCTGCAAGTTACACAGACGGAGGACACTTGCCTCTGTCGAGTGCGAATGAACTTCTTTCAGGTCACGCGAATTCAATCAAAGATATTATTATCACAAATTTGCCGTAGTTAACCCGCAATAATTTAAAAACATTGATCGTATCCTTTTCCTTCATCGCAATTGAACAATCAAATGTTAATTCGTTATATTCATATGTATTTACCACTATCATGTAAATAATACTGGAATCATAGAGTAATTAAAAAGCCCACATTTGTCACTTTATCGGTAAAGTAGATTTTCCACAAATATTTATGTTTAGTATCATATCTTTCATTGTCACTTTAATATTACTTATTGCTTCAACTCTACAACTCTTCCGTGTTGCGTATATCTTCTAAATATTTCAGTCATAGCGTTAATTTAAGAGTGCCTTGAGCACTTTGTAAATCCCGAACTATTTCATGGTCAAAAGAATAAGTAGTCGTATCCTTGGCCTACTGCCAGTAGTCTGACAAATGTGAATATATTCTACGTACATATTAGCATAAAGTTCTTACTTCCTCGACTCATGTGGAGCTTTGAATTAGACTAAATGTAAACATAGATGAAATGTTAATTATCTTGACTAGGAATCTGTAAGAAAGCTTGCGAAATCCGATCTGCAGTTCGTATCACAGTTAAATCGGTCTGTACCATCTTATTTTTTGAGGTCATTTAAAAGGTACAACAGATAACGTCGAATAATGAATCGACGGACTTTTATCGTATCATGATCAAAATAACTCAGCCGCAGTAAAAAAATGTAGTTCAAGGCTCAACAGCACAAGGCTCAAAAACACATGATTCCTAAAATACCATAAGGTGTTAGTATTAATAAATTGATTCTGACAATTCTTTTTCGATCTTCCAATATCTGAATTTTTACTAGCACATGTCATATGTTCATACATTTTTTTAGAATTTAGACTATTTATTAGCATTCGTTAGCAAGTAGGCAAACATTTAGCATTTTCGTAGGGTTTTTGTGTGCATTACCCTTTACGTATAGTGTAAAGGGAATTTATACTCGCCTGTATGTACCGGTTGAGGCGTGGTTGAAAAGTGGTGGCACAAGATCATATATATCGCCTCACGTTGCGTTGTAGTCATGCCATACCACGCCTCGTAAGCTCTGTAAAAACTTTAAGACGTCTAGACGTGTGGGCTGACTGAATAATCTCGACTCCCAGAACCTCGACTGAGATGTTGTTCACATTATATTCGTGTTTTCAAAACTATACATTTTTTTTTCTTACAAGAGAATTAGTTTTAGTGTACATAGCTTATCAGCGAAATCATTGTTAGCAGCATACTCGTTATCGACAACTCATTAGGTAGAAGAATTCACGATGGTAGGATAGAGATAACTATTTAACAAGCCACTCAAAAAATTATGAGTAATTAATCACGTACCGTCACGAATCTGTTATTTATCAGTCGAAAATGACTCGCACCGTTAAAGATATAACTTCACGATAATGTAACTTAATTACGTCATTGATAATTACGACCTTTGCCACAGTAGACACATAATTACAAACATCCTCAAGTACATGGGTAAACAAAACACTTAAATCGTTAAGATTTATAAAGATTCTAAAAACAAACTCGGATATAAATATTAAATTTGTTTGTATAAATGCACGTACATTTGCAATGAAAAACATATTTCCTATCATATTTTCATATCATATTTGTAGCATAAACAAAATTATGAATTATCGAAATCAACAAATTTATCCAAGTTTTCGAGAAAAAACGTAGTCAGAAATTAAAATAACAATCATCAAGTATCGTAGGCTACTGTGACCTTCACTCGGTTTGTTAAACAATTTATTATGAAGTCAACAACCACTGAAATTTTTGTTTCTTTCATTTCAGATTGCAACGTGCAAAACAGATATGTACATAGAAATATACAGAATAAACGTGCAAGAGTTATTCCAAGGATTTGTTGAAGGCATTGATGAAGATCACGGATCAGGATATGATGGATGTTCGTTTCAAAGCTTCCCCAAACTCTGTCAAATATGGAGATCGCCAGCATCTTCTTCTCGATCGTCGTCTTCCTTCTCCTTCTCTTCCTCTTTCCTGGAACTTGGCTACCATCAGCCGAGGATATCCGTCAAGATAAGTTTCCACCTTCAACTTGACCAAATCTCGGTGGTCTCGTCCGTTCCTCATTCTTTCTTATTACTATTTCCCTCTTCGCGTATCCTTTCTTATTTCTTTATCTTTCTCTATATAATTCTCTTGTTTCTTTTAATTCCCTCCGAACATCGTACGAACTTAACGCGGTATTTTTAGTGGGGTTTTTCTTAGATGGGGTAGGTCGATTTTGAATAAGTAACGCAATATAAAAAAGCAGTGTTATAGCTCAAAAAGTTATAAATTCTAAGATATTAGAGATGAAACTAGATGCGTGCTAACGGTTTCGAATGGAATAGAAATCACAATTATGCATGCCATCTGAAATAATCGATGAGCAAGAGCATAATACGTTTCCTCAAATGTTTCTTGTTCCAACCGTAACCGTTTAAAATGCAAAAGTAATTATGATGCAGTAGTAATTTTGTGAGCGTACATAACTTCAAAGTTAAGCACTTTTAGAATGTTATCATAGTATATGTAAGTGCGTATTATGAAAAAAGAGAAAATGATGCGTTACTTTTTTTTTTTGCGATCCGGGGAGTAATTTCGTTTTAATTGTCTGACCGGTGCTAAACTACTGTCTCTTTATCTATACTTCTTTTCATTGGGACGATTCATGATAGTAACTGTATAAAGAGGCCAAAGTTAACGCAACCTTGTTCGTATTAATCCCGGTTGTTATCGTTCGATAAATTGGTATCAGTTACCACGCCTATAGAATACTCTTATAACGTGTCGCGCTTTTTGTACGACAAATTACCCGACGATTAGCACGTTGATACTCATATACAATCTTTCCATTTTATATAACGTCATTGTGTATGTGTGTGTATATGGTGTGCGTGCACACACACGCACGCACACGCACGCGCGCATGCACATGTATATATATTTGTATGTATATATACTTTTTTATTTTTTTGCATACATTTTGGGACGCTATTGTCATTCGATTGTATGTTTCACGAACAAAGATATTATCACAAGTAAACTTTATTTCCCAACCGCGAATTCAAGAGGAAACTAAATTTAAATTCCAGTTTCGACAATTTCGTGATGTATGCACCATTTTAGAAGCATGAACGCGTCTTTACAATTAGAATCGAAAACAATTGAGTACGTACACAAATTAAGAGTACACTGATGATCAGAGAAAAGAATTCGTTTGGAAATAATGCGACTACAGATATATTATTCTGTTCATGTATCACGTCTTGGAATTGAAGAAAACACGAATGTTCAGAAATTTCGCCGGAAGTTGGTATTTCTTGATCCAACTCTTGAAACGAATTCTTTTCGCGTATACGCAATTTTATACTCAATTACGAAAATTGATCCACACTCTTGCTTTTTTTTAATTATTTTCTATGAAGTACAAATCGACAAACTATATTATTAGTTTTATTATTACTATTATTATTATTACTACTATTACCACCACCACCACCACTACTGCTATTGCTGCTGCTACTACTTTTACTGTTGCTGCTACTACTATTACTACTATCACTACTACCACTATTACTACTACTATTACTATTACTACTACTACCACTTTTACTATTATTATTATTATTATTATCATTATTATTAAGAAACTTAAGTATATCGTCATTACAATCGCATGACAAAAAATATACGCATGCCAACGTAACATGCACCATGTACGACTGGTTCGTGCATAAACAATAGACACATATATGCGACCTTTAACTTTTATGCCTTAAACATATATCCAGAGAGACAAGTATTCAGGAAACGAGATTTTCTTTTCAGGGACATCATGATGACAATTACACCACCAGTTCATGTGAAGAAACGGACTGCAGAATGGACGATCATGAAATCACAAGGAGAGAGGGATTCGAGTTTATAGAATAACATGAGTGCAATTAGGGATACTTCCTACAGACTGGCAACCACTGGCGACTGCCTAACCGCTTTTAAGGGCGCGCTATCATAATCCAGCTAGTGTGCGATGGTCATCTTTTAATCGTTTTGCTGGCTATCAACATCAACCTCTTCCCCATCCATAGAACTGGCAAGCCTCTTCACCCTCCATAGTACTCTTAGTGTAGAACACAATGGAGTTGGAGTGTTTACTAGACATTTATATGAAATCTTGACAATGATTGTTGTTCTCTGAACACCTATTCCTCTGTTGTTTATAACTTTTCTTTTTTATATATATATATTTTTCTTTCTTTTCTTTGGTTTTCTCTTAACGTCGTTGTAACCCTTTTCGCTATTTTATGTATCTGGAGTCACGTGACTCTTTGAAGTTTCGTCGTTTACTTTCTGTTTAGATTCTTCTAATGTTTGTATTTACTTAAAGTATACTTTTGTTTATACTTTTTTGATGTACAGACTACTTTCTTATCTGTTATTTTTTGTAGAATTTTAAATTTTAACTACAAATGTATAGCATAAATTGATCTCCGAAGAGTCAGTGATTCCGTTAAGAATTTTTTTTTAATAACAGATAGACAATACTGTAGAAACATAGTCGATAATCTGTAGGAGGTCAACTAGAGATGATGACTTTGGATCTTCTGTATCTATGATATAGAAAAAAAGAGGACAAAGGAAGGTGTCATTGTAAAAGCATATGTTTACAGATCTACTTGTGCCCAAAGTGTTCATCGATGTATCAATTTGATTTGTACTTAACCATATGATTGGTTGCAAATTCATCTTGTTTGATATTAACTTTATTGACACATTTTTTTATTTTTGTAAGCAGACATCTTCGACAAATAGGTTGCCAGCAAGTAAAATCCAGTAGAAAGACAAGAGCACCTGTTTTCTACTTTGTAATCAGAAACAAATAACTTTATAGATCATGACAATGTGTGTTTTTGTATATAAACAAAATTCGTTACTTTTATTTATTCATTAATTTAGTATTTTGTTAATTCCAGTGAGACAAAGGGAAAACTAAGCACAATCTACTTATATATTATCGTTCCTCGCTGTACACGTACCCCTTCTACCATCGTGATTTAACTCCTCAATAATTAGCCGCCTAATTCTTCTTTTTTTGTACTGTATCTTGTACTTGATTCATTCCAGATATTGTACACATAATCGATAGCCGGTTAATAAAATTGAGTCACGGAAGAATATTTCGAACGACTGAATATAGGAGAATCGAAGAAAATTAAGTTTTCTTTCACATACACATAAAGTTATACTAATTTTCATGTAGATATATCGAACGGGATTTAAGCTAAGCAAAATATGACATTTTCTGATACTTTATAGATTGTAATTAGGACTCTTTTCGTTTTCTGTACATATATTTATTGAACGATCGCAATATTATGTATGTATATAAATAGGAACAGATAAAGTGTTACGAGTTCGATGAACCGAGGTAATATGCCGGTTTAATTTGAGTTTCATCCGATAGAGCTCGAAAGAGAGTCGTGAGGATATTTCTGGTGCGTTGAAACCAGTTTGTATAAACGATATATATATATATATATATATATATAAGTCACATCTCATGAGAAGTTTCTTTCATGGGGGTATACTAACAAGTGAGGCAAATGTTTAAACGAAAAACAAATTTCTTTCATATTTTTTCACAGATTGTTCATACAAACAAATTCTGTCTGAAAATCTATATATCTCAAATACCTCTATAAAAGAACCTACTAAGTTATCGTTCAAATGAAACAAATAAGGTTAAGAAGCTTTTATTACTTAAATTTTTAACTAAAAGCAAAAAGGTGAAAAGTTGATATACTTATTAATATTGAATAAAAGTATCTATCCAATTGCAGCTTTGTTTTAACACGTTGTTGCAATGGAACATTCATGTTGTATGTATACAAGTATACACGCGTTTACATACATATGTATGCCAGTGTTATCCTAACGACATCATACTATAATCGTAACTGATCTATATTAAATATCATGACACGGTTGTCAGTTTTTGATCAAGCATGTGTAGAACTAGCTCAAACTCGTTTTACCTACCGCTTCGAGACTAGTTACTTACGTACACGTTATAATAAAACCATTAAAGAACGCATGCATGTGCAACGCATACGCAGCAATATAGACAAAAATTGTACAATTTCCTCTTGAGAGCCGTAAGACTGATAAACTTAACGCGGGTACATAGAGACTGTACATATTATAATAATCGTTGTAAAACATAGATTTGAGTTTCGGTAAAATTTACCTCGCAAAAATCCGTTATACTGTTTTCTTCATTTTCCCTGGATAAACGGGCAAACTTATTAAGCAGATGGTAGTTTTATCGAAATTTTTCTCCTTGTCGCGGTAGGTTTAGCGTTAAGTTCACTTGTAAAAATTTGTTTAGGCTTTGCAAAGCGGTACGAAGTTCCCTTTTTGCATAGAGAGTGTATAGATATGATATGGTGTGTAATGTATCGGTATATGATTATCAAGCATTACTTCACATTATATCTGTTCTCTTTCTTTTAGATATTATATACCTCCTTTCTTTTTAATTTTAATCTTCGAAATTAGTTTAGATTTTTATCGTATATAATTATTATTATTATTATTGTTGTTGTTATATTTTATTGTTATTACTATCGATTACCGAATGATGTTACTTTTATAAATAATTGATACTCTACTGCAAATTGACTATGTAAAAAGTGAATGCGTTAAATTTTCTATTGGATAGCCTAAGATGCTTCATATATATATATACACACACACACGCACATATATGTGTGAACCGAATTGTAAATATACTGTCGCGTTACATATATACATTAAAAAATAAAATATTTTAAGTGGGAATTATTGCGTATCGTGAAATTTATTATTTTTATCTATATAGGTATACATAAGTTAAAAGAGAAATGTAATTATGGTTGTCGGTATGGAAGATATATACTATAAAGTAGATAGGCTTCAAAATTGTTATTGTATGGTTCATATTGGATGAAAATATACGTATACAATTTTCTATTATCGCACTGATTATTTTTTAGAATAAAATTCATAAATATAGTACGAACATGAATTACCCTTTTTATACAACGTTTTTTTTACTTGAAAATCATCTACGGGGTTTCATCACTGTTTCTCCAGATATCCTTTATCTTTATATTTTCTTGGTATTCATTATACTATTCGTCGCTATTTTGTGCAATATTGATTAATGTTTTTAATGTTGAAATTTTTTAATAACAAAGTTTACTTGTTAACAAAGTTGATTAACTTTGCAACTTTTTAAACAATTTTAATAACAAAATTTATAAAAAGGGAAAATCTATGTCTTAAGAAAATAAAGAACTCTAAACTAAACTAAGTCTTAACAAAATAATTTACAACTTTTTAATTTACATTTTAATAAAATGATCGGAACAAATTCAGAAATATATCAGACTTACATTTAACATTGAATATTTAAATATGTATATTTTGCTATGTAGTACAGTAATAGATAAGAGCTTTTCCCACTTACGCCTGTTTTTTTATTTTTGGCATTAAGTTTATTTCCTCAGGACAGGATACCTCGAGTCGAGAGGCAGGGCAAACCTGTACTGGTGAATCTAAAAAATTTTATAATTGGAATTACTTAACATAAGTAGAGTTTACGAAACATACCGGCCTAAGGTAAAATATAAAATATAAAATATAGATTTAAAAGAAAGTGATATGTAGAACTCTGATCCTGACCTTTCGTACACTTGTACTTCGTATTTCACGCTCAATCATTCGTTCAAGCTTTAATTCGTCAATCGCTTTATATAATTCTGAAACATTTAAATGTGTTTAATCAAAACTTCTAACTTCCTTAATCTAAAACATACGATCTAATTCTATCATTCATAGATATTCATTTATATAACATTTCTGTTTTTACAACAAAAGAATTATTATCAAATATAACGAAGAAATGAAATTTACAAAAATTAAGAACATATCGACTCGGAATTGTCCGCAGTAAATTAAGAAAACAATTTGAATAAATAAAATTGTATTGAATATATTTACTGAATTTATTAATTATTATAATTATCACTATCGTTATGAAATGAACAGTTCATTTATTTATACTTTTGTACTTTTTGTACAAAATTGGATAATATACTGGACAGGTTAGTATTACATTCAAATAAAACTCTTGAATTAGTATAATTGCGACGAATCAAAAGTTACAAGCATTAAGCAGTACCCAGCTATTAGTAATCAATCCATAAAAACTGAATTATCGAGAATGTTACGCATATGTACAACAAAAATGAAAGATGTTGCAGTAAATCAAAAAAAAGAAGAAATGATATGATAATTTAATATATTCATTCAGCACGATATCTTTCGAAGCCAATGAATTACTGTATTAGAAAATTATTTACTATTTAATACCTACTATTTATGTTTATTCAAACTCGTCTTTCATTTCGTGAATAGTACGTATCCTTAGGTTCTGAACCCTTCTTTATCGGTCTATACTTATTTCGTAGATACCAGAACACGTGCAATTATATAGTTTCTGCTAAATAGGATAGAATATATAGGTATACTCCCTGGACAAGGAAACTTCCTACACGATTATCATTGGATAAAATATTATTAAAAGATGCATGCATAAATTAATAATTGACACTTTACCAACTCAAACTACTTTCTTAGTCATCCAATAAACTGTCTTTTCCTTAGTTCCAAGCATTTGTACTGCAATCAATTACATTTCTAAAATTAGTCATTTTATTGTCAAAGGAAAAAATACAAAATTCCGTAATCCCGTCTAACCTGTTCACGGTCACGTCATGTTCTGGAAAAAGGTAGGGATTCGTTCTTACAGTCTGCTCTTCCCACTACCACTTACGATCGTGAAACGTAGAGGGGGATACAAAAGAGACGAACGAGGGAAGATACGAAGTAGTCGCAGAGTGGAAACAAGTGTAATAGTCGGAGGTTACGAGGATAGAAGAGAATCGTATGTCATGATGACACTGTCACGACTTTTACTGTCGACGACGATATCGATAATCTTCTTATTTCTTCTAAACAATCCAAGGTTTTGTAATGCGCAATTCGAAGGTAAGAGATCAGAAGTTATAAAGTGGCAAAAGAAAAAATTCAAAAATGAAAGTTCATTGGCTTAAATATAATTTAGTGGTATCTAATCTGATATTTAAATATAAAACTATATTTTTAAATCGCGTTATGATTCGAATATTTAATGAATATTAAAACAATCAACTAATTGCGTTATTTCTTTGTCAACCACACTAACTGTGACTCAAGAAAGTTTAACAAGGAAAACAAATCTTAAATATCTTTCCTGTACACTCGCCATTAACGGGTATTTTTATCTTTTTTATCTAACGCCATTATTTTCAGGAGATGCATGCAAGGTCGCTGATGTGCCAGGTACTTGTTTGCGTCTTCAAAACTGCTCATCGGTTTATGAAGAATTATTGAAGGGAAATGCTCCACAGAGCATGTGTGGATATTTTAGTTTTGAACCTATCGTATGCTGTCCACGTGAGAACGAGGTACCTACGACTACTACCACAACTACAACTACGACTACAACTACACCTGCACCAACACCTTCTAAAAATGAAAGACCTTTTATTGATGATGGCAGAGGAGCTAAAGCAAGAGCAAGTAGGGCAAAGATAATTTTTACTAAATTCTTCATTTACAAAAATTATTTGAGTCATTACTCTTCGTATATATGTCTTGAATAGTATAGTTGTAGTCATTAACTTTCTGAATTCTAAAGACTCCATTTTAAAATTGATTTATTCTGTGAATTCTTCTAGAATGTGAAGAATATGCCAGATCTGTATACGTAACTGAAATTCCACCAACTTTATCGGTTAACAAAGCGCCTGTAAACATATCTTTGTGTGCAATCAAAACTCGCAAACTTGTCGTTGGTGGTAAAAAGGCTGAACCAAAGGAATTTCCGCATATGGCTGCGGTTGGATACAACATTAACGATGGCAGTATTTCTTGGCTATGCGGTGGTACATTAATTTCAGAAAGATTCGTCGTAACCGCTGCTCACTGTACCTACAATATAAACACGTATACATTTTGATATGATCCTTGTTATTAATATTAACGCCTAGCATTGTCATCGATATCAATATTATTAAGACTATCAATATCATTGATGTAATATATAATATAATAGATGTAATGAATGCTTTTAAAATTGTTATATCTCTGTGTGATTTCTTCTAGGGGTACCGCAAATTGGGTACGATTAGGTGATTTGAGTCTCAACAGAGTAGATGATGACGCAAAGCCAGAAGATTACAAAGTGATCCAAAGAATAAGACATCCCAGATATAAACAACCATCCGAATACCATGATATTGCGCTTCTTAAATTAGAAAGAGACGTGAAATTTAACGCATGGATAAGACCTAGCTGTTTACCATATTCTCTACCGGATACGGGTACTGATGGTAAAGCAACTGCAACCGGATGGGGAAGAGTCGACTGGGGTAAATAAAACAATTCAAAAATATTATTCATTTTAATAAAATATATAATGTTCAATTTCAATTTTATTAGCTGGGGACCAATCGGACGATTTACTCAAAGTCACAATTAATTTGGTGCCCCAAAACGAATGCAACAGGACATTTACTCAAGGTTCGGTAGATTACAAACTAAGATTCGGTATAGTGGAGAATTGGCAAATTTGTGCTGGTGAATTTGGAAAAGACACCTGTCAGGTAACAATATTTCGAAAATATTAAAATAATGATATTAAATTTATATGCATTTTTGTGTGTAGGGTGATAGCGGAGGACCTCTTGTAATCTTAAATGAACAGTACAACTGCATGTATAGTTTAATCGGTGTAACGAGTTTAGGAAAACTGTGTGGTAGCATTATTCCCGGTGTATATACTCGCGTTTACAACTATGTTACATGGATAGAACGTGAAGTTTGGCCATAAATATATGTGAAATTGTAAAATAAATATAATTTTAAATTGATTTATATCTTTGTGTTCTATTCATTCATTCTCTGAATTTTTTTATAAAATTTAACTATACAAATCAAACATACACAAGCATATAATGTAATCAATATGACATAAAATATATAATATAAAATATAGGTATTTCGATCTATAATTATGTTACCTCAGACTATTAAACACAAGTATATTTGTGAATCAATGTTTGAATGCGGAAATTAAATTATATATATAGTTCAGTGATTTTACATCGATTCTCGATTTAAATAATCGATTCTTTAGTTATGAATAGTAGCCAGTCAAACATTGATGCGATTAAATAATGGTGGAAATGTATATATATTATCGGAATAATTAATGTACTCCGATGTATGCTGTTTACTATAATATATTCAATCTACATATTACAATGAACAAAAATTAAAATGTCACTAGTCACTTCGTTGAGGATAACGTGTCACGAACTATCGATAAATACGTTTCGGATAAAAACTCGAACTCGTTCGATAATTTCTCCCAATCTACTTCATATAAAAATACTGTGATGTGTTGGAACTATGGAAAAATACTGTGATGTGCATAGAAATATCGAGAACACAAATTATTGGCTGAGAAATAGTGATATCTTGAGACATTACGAATACGGATACCGAAACTTTGTCTAACAATGGGACTGTCACGATCATGGTTGATAATAATAATAATGTTATTTATGTTACATTTTTTACAGAATTCTGCTACACTCTGTAATAAACAATACGAAGGTAAAGAGATTCTTTCAATTAATTGATAAACGAGAAGATTTAGTAATCAAAATATACATATTCAATGTGGTAGTCAAGTAATACCTAATATGTTATTTAAATATAAAATTGTATATTAATTATTAAACTTTTATTACTGCAAAAGGACAAAAGCTAATTATTTCCCAATTATTTATTTTTTAATTAATTGTATCACAATTATTTTGAATTCTAGAATCTTATTTAATATTCTTTGTGATTCAGGAGACACATGTACCCGAGATGGTAAACAAGGAATTTGCACACGTTTGGCGCAATGCCCATCAATTTATAAGAATATGTTAATAAGACAATTTCCACATTGTGCGTGCGGATACATACATTTTGAACCTGTTGTATGCTGTCAAAAAGAAAGCAAATCAACATTAAGAAACTCTAGCGTATACAATCCATATCGCATTAACCACGGTGCTAAAGCAAAAGCAAGTATGTATTTTTTAAAGTTCCAAGATATAATATTTGTGATCCGTGAGTTTATAAATATTTCAACCGAACAAAATTATCTTTTATTCTTCATATATATACAAAATTTTACATATCTTATAGTTGGTTTGTATTATTAATTATTTTAGAGTGTCAAGAATACGGATCGATGCCACTCCAACCAATCAATACGTCAACAAGTAACATAACTATTACGAATAACGGTACTTGGCCTATTTTACTACGCAAATTGATCACCAATGGTGTGAAGACGATGGACAAGGAATTTAAATTTATGGCTGCAATTGGATACGGTTCAATCAAAAATGACATTTCTTGGCAATGCGGTGGCACTCTAATTTCAGAGAGATTTGTTGTAACAGCAGCGCATTGCATTTATAATGTAAACTGGTAAAGATTTCAGTATCGATTTCGATATCGATATTAACGATAGCTTTTATATTCAACCATCATATTCGACTATTTCATCAGTCGAATCGATACTGCAAAGTTATCTTGATCTGTTGATAAAGTAAATACTTTGACAAACTTCATTCCAAATACAATTTCTTACAGGGGCAGTGCAACTTGGGTACGCTTAGGTACGAACAAGCTTTCGGATTCAAATAACAATAAGAATGCAAAAACTTATCGGATTATTGAAAGAATCAGGCATCCACAATACAAACAACCGTCTTACTATCACGATATCGCGCTTCTTAAATTAGAAGTAGACGTGGAATTCACTTTGTGGATAAGCCCCTGTTGTTTGCCGTATTCTTTACTAGATGTCGGTAGCAACGGTAGGGCAACTGCTATGGGATGGGGACATACTGAGTGGGGTAAGATTAATAATTCCAAAACCTTAATTACTTTAATAAAATAATAGTCAATCTTAATTGTTACTTTTTTAGCCGGAGAGGGTTCGAATGAATTGTTAAAAATCACAATTGATTTAATATCTCATTCGGAATGTAACAAGGTATATAGTAGTAGTGGAAAGGATGATAAATTGGAATTTGGAGTCGTGGATAATTGGCAGATCTGTGCCGGTGGGGATGGGAAAGATACGTGTCAGGTAATCGCATTGTTAGAGATAAATCTGCTTTCGCTATTTTCGAAAAAAGATAATCAAAACATGTTATGGAATTCTTAGCAGTATTAATGTTACGTTTAATTTACGTATAGGGCGACAGTGGTGGACCTTTGGTGACTCCTAATAAGGATTATAATTCCAAGTATACTTTAATCGGTGTAACAAGTTTAGGAAAATTTTGTGGTAGTATTATCCCTAGTATATATACTAATGTGTACAATTATATTTCATGGATAGAAAATATAGTTTGGCCAGATCCGTGATACAAATACAAATAGATAGCTATGTATATTTCAGATTTTTCGTTATTTTTTATTAACTAAAGTGTTAAATATTATATATAAATGGAATAAAATAAATATCAAAGATTAAGACAACTTGTATTATCTCTATAATCTTATAACAAATCGTATGAAAAGTATTACATGCAAAATATTAAATGCCTCTAAACGATTAAAATTATGAGAATGAATTATTAGAAATTTTATTTTATTGCATTAAATTTTATTTTAAACTATTTCGAATAGTAAAATATAATTATGATCAGCAAGGTTATCGATTGATACGGTAACTATTTTACAAAATACCTAAAGGAAAGTAGAATGGATACAAACTATAGCTGACTGATATTGTGCATCTACTCTATTTACATTTTAAATTACAATACCATTGGTTAAATTCATGATACGTCTATTATAAAATTGGAATAAATTTCCAAGAATTAACACGATAATCTATGATCGCGACCAGTTCTTTACCACAGTGGTGTCTGGTTTATTATTTTTCTATATACGCATTGCATATTCAATTAGTTTTCAAAGTGTAGCTAGATTAAAATATTATTATTGCGTTTCTAAGGTAAAAATAAGTATCATATGTTGATCAGCGATCATCAATCGATCTAGTAGTGTTCATCTTACGTAATGATTTTATCAGCAAGTAAGGATCTTTCGGTTTAGTGGCGGTTTTGAGTAGACCTTTTTTCAAATCCTGAGACATTTTATAGACATTTACATAACTCTACCGCCATGATTGTTTCCATCGATGACCAAGTTAATATTATACAATACGTAATTATTTGGATTTGCGATACTATGAATATGTTTAATAACGGTAAAAATGTGTAATATATGTCATTATGCAGCTCGGTACGATCTACTCGTTTCTATATTTTAATCTTAATTATAACGTAATATTAAATTGATGCAGATAACGATACAACAGGCTACGAATGGGTTGAGATTCTATGATTTTTCGATAATAAAAGGAACAAATGATGATTACTTGCAGGACCCGTTCACAAATGATTCTGTTATCCCGTGCCAATGTTGTATCATCAAGGAAGAAAAGAGTTGACCTTGTCATTCTTGAATACCCGTCCCACAACCAATCACTATTAAGGAATCTTCTGGACTATATAAACAGCATGCGAGAAAACATGTGAAACATTAAGTGAACCAAAACGAGTGCAAAAAGTAGAAGTTGCGAAAACGGAAACGAATTATATTGAGCTATGGCATTATCATGGGTAGCATTATCACCAGTGACATTGTTAACGTTGGTTTTTATTTTATCTGATCTTACAAACTGTAAAGCACAGCAACAAGAAGGTAAAGAAATTTTTTTAAACGATTGGTCCACGAAAAGATTGGTAGAAAAATTGATACATCATATATTAACTGACTTCAAATGGAATACTTAAACATAACACATCTGGATATCTCTACTCGGGTAGAAATTACAACAATTTATTAAATATAAATAGTAAATATTCCAGAAGAATTAAATAGCCACTTTCTTCTCTGTTTGGTATTTGAAGCAGTTTTAAATATTAATTAAAATCTGAGAAGATTTTTGTTACAATCTTCGAGTATATATATATAAGTTGTCTCAAAATTACTACAAGTCAAAAATTACTACATAATTCTAAAAATCTTTGCAACAATTCTATAAGATTGAATTGATTGTAAAATCCAAAAAGATCAAATTCAATTTATTAATTTGATCTAACACTTACTATTATTTTCAGGAGATGCGTGTGTCGTAGATAACACTCCAGGTATTTGTACACGACTGCATCAATGCCATCCGGTTTACGTAAATGTATTAAACAGACAATTCCCAAACACCGTGTGTGGTTATTTAAAGTTTGAACCTATTGTTTGTTGTCCAAGAAAAAACGAAAGACCTAGAAAACCTGTTAATATTACATCACTCCCTGTAACTCGAAAAAAGAGTACCAAAGCAACAATAAGTAGGTACCTCTTATCATTAGAAGTTCAAATATTACTAAGTCTATTTGACTACTATAGTTAAATATCTTACATTACCTGTGATCACTTATGTTTATTAATTGTCGCAGAATGTTTAGAAATGATCCAAAACATTCCCAAATTTATTATTGGTGGTACAAGAGCATATATCATGGAATTCACGTTCATGGCTGCGGTTGGATTTGATGATGCGGAGAACATTGCCTGGCTGTGTGGTGGTTCTCTAATTTCAGAAAGATTTGTCGTAACTGCAGCACATTGTACCTATAACATAAATTGGTAAATATTTTGGTATCGATCTTTTTATTGACATTAGCGTTAGTTCTATCGTCGAAATCAATATTACTGATTCGAAGAAAACAAATTGAAGAAATAAGTATACTTCAAAACTTCTGTTCACGTGTAATTTTTTGTAGGGGTAACGCGAACTGGGTCCGATTGGGCGCTTTAAGCCTCGAGACTGCAAATAAGGATGGCGTCGTAAACGATTTTAGAGTTATCGATAGAATCAGACATCCTTTATACAAACGACCGTCCGAGTATCACGACATCGCGCTTCTTAAATTAGAGAAAAACGTAGAATTCGGTCCATTTATAAAACCCTGTTGTTTAGCAAATTTCTTACCGGATACCGGTAATGGTAAAGCTATTGCAATGGGATGGGGACGAGTTGATTGGGGTAAGTTTAATAATTTTAATCTTATTTGTTTCAATGAAATAACGCTCACTATTGATTAAAATTGTCTTTAGCTGGAGAAAATTCTAATGATTTGTTAAAAGTGACACTTGATTTGGTACCTAACCCAGAATGTAATAGGACATTTACCAATGGTATTAGAGACGATAGGCTTGAATTTGGAATCGTTAGCGATTGGCAACTTTGCGCTGGTGGACTTGGGAAAGATACCTGTCAGGTAACAACTCTATATTTCGAAGTATAGCAGTTATTAAAATTAAATTTATTTCGCATGTAGGGCGATAGTGGTGGACCTCTGGTTATCTTAAACAATACGAATTTCGTGTACGATCTAATTGGTGTGACAAGTTTGGGAAAGCTTTGTGGTAGTATTACACCTGGTATATATACTCGTGTTTATAATTATGTTCCATGGATAGAGGACATAGTTTGGCCGGACTCGTAATGTAAATATATGATAAATATATTTTAAAATGTTATGTATATTTGTGTATTTTATTCTTACAAATTTAATGAGTATTAGTACATTTAAGATGAAAATTTCGAACACTGTTCTGCATCGATCTTTAGACGCGCAAGCGCTAGCCGGTAGATTTTACCTAGTTTTCATTACACGGTTTACGCGTGCAGTCGAAAGCGAGGTGATCATCTATTTTTGTTTGTCCAGAATTTCGAAGCAATTGCTATCGAGGTAAGAATCGTTGCTTCACAGATTCGTGATACAATGCAGGTATGTAGAAAATAAACAAAAGATCCAACACACGTTATAAATGCATACTATCAGGATTAATAACCAATCTTTATAAGTAGCAAGCTGAACGTAAATGACACGAGTTCTATTTGTCTCAGGCAAAAATATTTATCCGTTAAGAATTCATGGTTTTACATTTATTGACACTTATACAAATTCAAAACACGTAAAAATGCTTAAAACATAAATGTCTTTTTAAATCATGAAACGGACAATATTTAGTTAGGTACGTCGTATTATTCTGATTTGTAGTTATATTTAGTTGTGGTATAAAACATAAATTAAAAATTATACGAATAAAAATATATTATATACATAGCACAGAGATTCAATGTCTGCCATTCTCAACGCATGTGGAAATGATACTGGATCTCCTTCAATATCAAAGGCTGAGGATAATCTATCCAATAGTGACGGACCGCTGATTAAGGGCTGTGTTCGTCAAAATAGCTGCAGTAGCGTACATATAAGGTATACTAAAAAATTTTACATTCATACCACAATTCGTAACGTTTATGACATAGATACTAATTCTTTTAGTTCCGAAAACGTTAACCGAACGACGATTGTATCATCTCATACCATGTCGGTATCTAACGAGAAACTAGGAAAACGACACTATTCTCTATGGACCGTAACTTTCGTCCTAGCAATAATCGGTCTTTGCAATCTCTTCCTTAATATCACTGTGATAGCTGTTTTACGAATCAGTCAAGGAATGGAAGCAATGGAAGTGATACCTGATGAGAATCTTGTAAAATTTTATGGGAAAACCGACTTAGACAGGGTCAGATATTCAAATATCCCAAAAATATTTTTATAAGATTATAATTATCAATATGTCTCACTTGTAGATATGCTTACAATCAGGAATTTGTCAAAGTTATGGAGACGAATCAATGGAAATTTCTGGTGACGAAGCTGGTGTGCAGATACAAGTGAATAATCATCGATTATACGATGAAACACGTACCAAAGTAACGATTTTATCAAATGGTACCACCATGTCAAAAATAGAATCTTTTGAAGTGAAAGATCCCCGAACTGGAACTATCTATTTCACTACTGATTTTCCAAATTTCGGTTTACCTGCGGGAGTAGATAAAATCGATGTGAAAATTGCCGAAACCCATAGAATTACATCACCGGTTAATGAAAGTCTCACTGTAAACTCCGACAATCAAATTTCTATGCAGGGCGCAGAAGGCGCTAGCATGGAAAGCAAAGATATTATTTGGAGTGCAGATACGGATATTTTCTTAAAAAGCATTAACGGAAGCATCGTCTTTAATGCTAAAGATGGTATCTTTATTGATATAGAGAATATACCAGTTGCGCCAATGTTTCTACAGAATTCTTCTGGTCACGAACAATATAAAGTTTGCATTTGCATGCCACAAGGAAAACTGTTTAAAGTGTTGGTTCGTACAGGTACTAGTAGTCGATCAATAAACTGTGCTCGCATCAGTCGAACTCCAGAAAACGACCCTTGCTTGCGATAGGATCAAGCAAATACTGAGTTTTCTTATTACGATTTTATTAACATATCCAACACTGCCAAATATATAGAACTAAAAAGGCAACACCTAATTTTCTATACAGATTATTAAATGTTAGTAAAATATTTTAAAAAATTTAAGGAAATATGTGTTTTCATGTGGATAAATTTGACAAACATTGTAGAAACTTGAGTCGTATATTATACTACATATATTATAATACACAGATGTAATTCGGATTTTATTCGAAATAATCACGTACATGTTCACACAATTTTATCACGTAAAAACATCAGCATTATTACATTATCATTAATAAAAAATCATACATTTCTGAAATTCGTATACAATACTGAATACATTAACTTTTGTATCAGATAATCAATATTATGAATAAAATGTCATAGAAAATAGTACAAAATTCCTGCCCTATCATAACAAGGGCACTGAATGAATACATAATTCTATTAAATAAAAAATTAAGCACTTTCTGTTATCATTTCTTCGTTACTTTCTTCCATATCTTCTTGTTGTTCTTGTTCTGTAGGAGGTTCATATGCTTTGTCTAAGGGACTAGCAACCACACCACCTGCCCATACACTCATCTCTACAGCAAGTTTATTGGTGCCCTCAAGTAATGGTCTATAGCCTCCATGAGCCAACACACGTAATAATGTTTGTGCTGTGAGACATACTAAATCTTGTTGTTCTAATGCCATGGCTGTATGTACACGTATATTGCCACCCTCACATGGATCAGAAATACCTTAATGAAAATATAAAAAATTGTTATAAAGTATCTATGCAATATTATTTGACTAAAAATATAATGAATTTTACCAGCAGATCCTGGAAGGAAAAGTCCAGATGCAAGTAATTGAAGTACTCTTTTATATGCTTGGTTTATTGGCAGTGCTTGTCTACTGGGATTGTTCATTATGGCATTATGTGCTAATAAATCTAACATCCATGGGGATAAAGGTTCTAAACCTTCAAATCTACTTCTCAAATCTCTAAGTAATCTTATTAGAACCTTTATACTGGAATGATGAGCATTTTCTTCAAACCATCGAGAATGTCTGATTGCAGCAAGGTGTCCTTGACATATTTTTACATCCAAATGCTGATCAGACTCTAACTTTCTCAAATTCTGATGTAAAGTAGTAATCAATACACGTACTGTAGCTTCATTATTAGCAATATCAAAACCACGTTCTGTGTGAGTGAGTCTAAAAATTTCTTTAGGATTGACACTTTTTAAATCATTGTTAACTTTTGTACCAAGTGCTTCCACTGCTGTTTTAGTAGGTAATGTTTTAAGAATCACAACAATATCAGCTACATTGTGACCTTTGATCATTGTTCCCTTCTTAAAACTACCTACTTGCCTTACCTCTTCTAATTGCTATAAGAAATAATTTTCATTAAATAAATAAAAAATATAATATATATAGCTAGATTATATAAAAAAATTCATATTTACACAAGCTTCAAAACTGCCTGGAGCAACTATTAAATTATCAAGTACAGTCTGTAGTTTAGTTACTAGATTTAAAATAGAAGTTTGTTCCTTTGGTGTAGGACACATGTCTGTATTCTTTTTCAAAAGTGCCATTTGAAAATCAGACTCATCTGGTACAGGTTTAACACGTGGAAATGCAGCTTCACATAAAGTATAATCAAATGGATGACGTGGAAGAAATTGCTTCCTGGGAAATCCCATCCCACGTCCCATTCCACCTCGACCTCCTCTAATCATTCCACCTCGACCACCTCGTACCATATTATGTCTAATCATAGAAATAAAAATATTCAAAAATATTTTAGGAACATTAATTACAATGAATTAATATTTTAAAAATATATTTTCAGTAAAGAATTATATACATTATTTAAGAATTTATAAATCGAACAAATGAGTTAAATCTATATAAATTAATAATATAAATGAATTAATAAAATATTTGAAAAGAAAATAACCTACACGTTTTTCGATAACATCAATAATAATTAATAATTATAATTATCTAAAGTTTAAGTTGTTACGACAGTATTACACTTACCAAAAGAATACAAAAATAAGTTTAAAATAATAATATATTTTATAACTTTTACCAATGAACTTTTAATAATTCGCTAACAATAAAACACAACACTCTGAATAACCACAGTCGAGTAATAGGTATATTAAAAGTTTCATTAGGAACTTACTAAACCAAGATATTCTACTCTGTTATTATATTAGCAATATCTCAACGCCATCTAGTTACAATAACTCATTAATTTATATTGTGTATTTGTATAAAAACAAATGTGAATAAATGAATAAAACATTCTAAAATTGTTATCGTAACAAATATATAAAGAAATGCTTGAATGTAGATTATACATAAAATCTATAATTAAATTGGTTACAAGAATGATAATAATTGTTTAATAAATCTCTTTTTGTAAAAAAGTTATATTAATTTTTGTATTCTTATTTTTTGTACTTTCTGTAACATTATTAACTAAATATAACTTCAATAATTTTTGTATATTGTTTATTTAGTTTAAATAATAGCTAGTCAAAATTTATTATAATGTTTCATAGATGCAATAAATAAAAAGATTTTACATATAAATTTATAATAATTATAACATAATTTGAACTATATATACTATATATAATTTACAACTGTAGATATATTCATTCTAAATTAAACAACAAACCTCAATCAATAGTATTTAAACATCTACTACATACCTTATAAATTTACAAGTATAATAGTAACATAACTTAAATGGAACTGTAAAATATTTTTCAATTACTGTTATTCTTTGCTTCATTTGGCTAGAATGTCTAAAGATACCCTAAGATCAAAAATATCTAATATACAATTTAAATTACAGTATAAGAGGTATATATGAAATATTTTTGGTAAAAATTTAAATAACAGAATTAATTTTTTACTCAATAGGAAACAGCAAAACAAGAAAAAAATCTTAAAACCTTACGGCTTTTGTTGTTCAATTGATAATGTTGATCCATTAACAAAATATGACAGACTAAGGTCATTTTACAAACATTCATTAACTTCTACACATGCAATGAATGAAAGTCCAATTTTGAAATTTCAAACAGAATTTATTGATCATGTAAGTTATGATTTAAAAAAAAAAAGTCTCAAAAACAAGCTGTTTGATACAGGAGATCACAAGCATAAAAATTATAAGAAAAATAAACAAAATTTAAAAAATTTAAGAAAACTACATAAAATAAAAAAACTATATAAATTACATCGTAATTCATTTAATAATGAAGACACACATAATTCTGAAGATATCCATGATGATTCCAATTTCGAGGATTTACGTGATGAAAAGGTAACATTCCTTCTTCAAGGACCATTAAGATGTTACTTAGAAGAAGAAATTGCTGCTGCAAAAGATATACTATGGGAACAAAAAAACAAAATATACAGTGAAGAAATGGATAAACATACTGAAATTGGAAAACAGAAAAGTAATCACACATTTTAATTTAGTTAAGATTTTTATAATCTTATTGGTACAATAAAACTTGAAAACTAATGATTTCTAGCACAACTTATGATGAAAAAGAAAACAAGTAGATATCCTCTATGGTATCAGGATTTTTCTATTAACCAAGTATAATGTTAATTCTTATTTATCAAGTATAACATTAAATCTTGATTAAAATATAAAATACTTCTAAATTAATAGATAAGGGATTTAAAGATGTTGCAATGTATAATGCATAAAGATTGTGAAGAGATGGTAACAGGACGTACTCAAAGAACACTTATATCAATTGGAATTATATCTACATTTTTCAAACTTTCACCAAATATTATTAGAAAATTACAGGAAACTTGTAATTGTAATGTAATAGAATTTTTAAGAGAAATTTACAAGATACTAACTGGAAATTATTTTGAAGAAGAAAGATATAGTATGTAATTTTTAAATTTTTAATTCTTATTTATTATATCTTTATTTTATACTTTGTTCTTAAATTCCAGAAAAATTTTATGATTGCAACGAAAGAATAATTTTATCAGCTATTGCATTCTTGACTTTACCAGAAACTGTTACAGAGCTACATAAACGATTACCTCCTGTAGTAATACCAAAATTACGTCCGAAACGTAATGTATTTTTATTAAATAAATTATTTATGTATTATTATTCTAATATCTTATTATATATTATTATCAATTCATTTTATCATATATTATTTATATAGCCACACTGCCAATATTACCAATAAGACAAAAAATGGAATCACCATATGAAGAAGAACTCTTTATACGACCAGACTGGGCAACTTTTTATAATCAGTTACAGCATTGGCAAGAACAACATCAATTAATGCCACTGCCAAATGTAATATTACCACCTAAAGAATGCATTTTAAGTAATTATAAAAGTGCAAAAATCAGTGCTTATACTGAAGAGAATAAACATAGTAAAATACAAAATATTCCTCAATATAATCAATTGCTTCATGTTAAAAGGAATCCTTCTCTTCAAATTAATCAAATGCATAACATTTTTACTAAAAAAAAGCAAGGAAGAAATACTGTTAGTAATACAAAGCAAACAAATAACATACCAATCAAAGTAGAAGTTAATAATTCTACTAATAATTTAATAAATTCTATTGAATTATATCAAAATGTAAGTAATTTTAATGAAAATGAACATTATATACAAAATAATAAAAATGAGGAATTTAAGCATGATAACATAATAAATAATGTAGTGAAGCATAGTGTACAATATCATAAAGAAAAATCTACTGGTCTTGATATCCCACCATTATATGGAGAAAATAGATTATTTGATTTTACAATCAATGGAATTAGTGAAAAACCAGGACCAGTAGAATATAAAATATGTGGAGTTTTACAATCGCCTCAACCAAATAAAAAGTCTTGGCTTGATGAAAAACATGCACATTACATAATATCTGGTGCTTCAGATGAACCACCAACTTGTCCTGTAACATATGAAATGACTGGTATTGCGAATGTAACACCTACTAACAGCAATGAGAAATTCTTTGCTGTATTGAAACTTGGAGATGGACCTAAAATGATTTATCCAAATGGTAGAAAGAATCTGTCTCGTCATTGGCAAGAATGGTTACAAAATGTGGATGAAGAATTTCGAAAAGTAGAACGCGAAGCAAACAAAATGATAAAAAGTATAGAGGCTGTAACAAAATTAGTATTTCCAAAACCTACATGCGACAGTTGTTGTTCCTGTAGACAAACTAGGAAGTCATATATAAAAGCAAAGGAAACAAAAGCACCTTATTTTGTAATAGATACTATAATTGAGGATGATAATAAAAACAAATATATTGTAGGCTCAATGGCAATGCATTCACCTGCACCCACACCACTAGAATCGACCATAAATTTATTAGAAGTTATAGCCTCAGAAGATATTCTTACCACAAATGTAATAATAAATGGTGTTACAAATGAAACAGGTGAAACTCAGTATTTTATTTCTGGCTCTAAGAAAGATGTAATACATGTACCAGCACGAATTATAGAACCTTCACCTCCAAGACCACCTAGAAATGTTCCACCATGTGTATGTACAATTCAACAAATATTTAGTAAAGGCTTGATTCAAGCAATAAGTCATGATAATATACCATGGACAAAAGAAGATGGTTTATGTTTTGGAAAAAGATTTAGACCCCAAGAATCTCCTGCATATTCCTGTAAAACATATCCAGGTGATAAATCATGCAGAAGAAGTCCATTTATGAATGAAATAATTAAATTAAAAAAGAAAGCTGAAAGAGAAGAAAAAAAAGAACAAAAATGTGAAATTACTTCAAAAGAAAAGAAAATGTATAGTATTGCAGATTTTCAACCATGTGGTGATGAACATGGTATGAGTATTTGTGGAGGACCTTGGAATGTTTTGCATACTTTAACACCAGAAGAATTAGAAGAGCAGGAAAAATTACGAAAAGAAATATTGAGAGTATGTTTTATATTTATAAATTAATTTAATTACAAATATATAAACTATAGTAGCATTATAGTGTATAGTGACATTATTTTATTATTCAGGGTCCACCATGTGGAACAAAACCTGGACAAGCTGTCTGTGAAGGTCCTTTTGGAGCACGAATACCACCAAAACCACCACAGATATTAATAGAAGAAGAAATTCCAGGAGAAGAAGAACCTGATGAGGAAGAAGAAGAAGATATAGAAGAAGAAGAGAAAATACAGGTATCTCCTGTTAAAGTAAAGGAAAAAGAAAAGAAACGCGATAAAAAATGTCATATGAGTCCAGAATCTATAGCAACTAGAGAAAAGGTAGTTGTAAAAAAAATTGATAAATTTATTCCTGATCCCACCTATCATGGCTATGATGACCCATGGAATATATTTCGTACAGCACCATCAGTAAAAGAATCTGAAACTGATTTTAAAAAATTATTAAAGCTAAGTTCTCCAAAACCACCAGCAACACCTATACAATCTAAAACATTGATAAACAAAACTAAAAAATCTGCGTTACAAGAATATATTTCCGAAGTAAGAGAGTTAAAAAAGGTACCTCCAATTCCTATACGAGATACGTCTGAAAACATTTCGAAAAAACGTATTCAAGAAAAATTTAAAAATAGAGAAGAAATTGATAAAATAGAATCAACTGATAAAAAGATAATCCGAAACACAGAAACAAAAAAGCTACATGATCAAGTAGTAAAAAGTGATATTACAGAGGATAAAATAAAAGATCAAAATTTAATAAAATCCACGAGAACTAAACGCGATCAAAAGTTGGATAAAGAACCTTTGTCTTTTAAATATTTGAAAAAACAAAGCGATAAATCAAAGCCTAAGAAATCCAGTACAACTAAAGAAATACCTTTTACAATTCATGAGCGATTCGAAAAACAATTGGAACAAATACGTAATTTAACAAATTATGATGTTCATAAACAGGATAAGAATAGAAAAAGTACAAAGAAATTAAGTCATAAAACAACTTTATTAGCAGACGTAAAAAAGAAAAAAATAAGTAAACAGTCAAAGATAAGAAAAAAATCGGTAAGGCGGGATAAGAAAAAAGATGTACATATTGATCAAGATGTTGATCCTGAAACAATCTATAAAAATAAGGTACACGAATTAAAAAATATGATGAAATCTTCTAAAATTTATCCTTATGATGTTAAACCAGTAGACATCTCTGATAATCCTCCAACAAAATGTCAACGAGAATATGAAGATATTGAATTTGCAGCTGATACTACACAAGATGAAGAAGATATAGGTGTTCAATTACCAAGTAAAGGTCCTTGTGGTTGGAAAACAAAGTCAGAACAACAATTATCAACAAAGAAAACTTTAGTATACCTCCATGAACCAGACTATCCACCAGAAACAGTAGCAGTGAAATCAGGAGGAAAACCATGTATTTGCCTAAAAAATAGAGCAAAGAAAAAAATATTGTTATATAATATTGCAGGACTTATAGGTGGAAAGAAAGTTGATGGAGAAAAGAAGTTATTAAGGAAGAAAAAAGATGAAGATAAAAAAATGCAAGTTATAGACGGTGCTATTTATTATACTCCACCACCGAGTCTTCGTAGGAGCGATGAATATGTACCTGAATATGATCTTTATGAATCTCCATATGATATGTGTCTTACTGAACGTAAAAATCAAGACCTTCAATTTCTCGAACAATACAGTAGAGTTAAGGTATCAAAAGTTCCAGGAAATAAGGAATCTTGCGATTGTAATGACTACATAGATACATATGGTATTCAAGCAACAGACAAAAATAATGAAAAAGCTCAATTAATGAAAGAACTTTATAAAACTAGAGAAAAATTAATAAATGCAAAGCCGCAGCGGGAACGTTGGGACCTCGCGCTTAAAGATGTAGGTTTGATTGATTATTTCGTGCGCTGCAGAGACAATATGCCTTGTTGGTTAAAGTGTGCTAAATTTAACAAAATGGGTTGTGCTATACCATACCAAAAACTCAAAACAAAACAACCAGTCTGCGAATGTAAATATGAAAGAAAAATACTTGAGCATAGGGAGGAAAAAGTAAAATGGAAGGAACGACAAAAACGATTAAAATCTTTGAAAAAACAGCCATATGTAAATATTACAAACATTTCGAAACTATTGATACCAAATACAAAATTAATGATATCAGGAGTAAAAAGAATTCCAAAAGAGGATGAATATGTAGACGATATTAAATATTGCATAACTGGTGTTGCCGAAAACTATTCTCATTTACCACCTAAACAAGTAGTAGGTGGTGTTTATATGGTTACACCTATTCAGACACCTGAACCAAGTGAACACAAAATACCATGTGTTTGTTTACATAGACATTGGTCGCCTATGAAAATTCCTCCCGGACCATTGCTAAAACCTGAAGAAATTTTACTTGCTAAGAAAAAACGTAGACAAGAAGCAGTAAAAGAAGCATTTCGACAAATTTATGCTCCACAACCAATATATCACACACATAATGATCATAGTTGCAAAGAAAAATGTAGTGAAAGTTCGGAGGTGGAAAACGATGAAAATATAAAAGAAAATAATGAAATATTTGATAATTATAATATCGCATTGCATTTAAAAAAACCTGTTGAAGCTAAAAACAAATTAACAAATTCTCCGAAATATATTAAACAATATGTTAAATCAAATATTGATTATCCTCGGAATAAAATTGAAGTTGAAAACGTAATACGGCAAAAACACTCCAACAAAATAAGAAATTCAAATAAAGAAAAAAATGATACAAATATGACAGTGCAAAAAGCTTTCGAAAGTAAAGTAAGAAATTTGCAGAAAGGAAATAAGGACATTAAAAGTGAAAGAGTTGATTCACTTGTTGAGACAATAAGTACTCATGAGAAACGTGCATATAAAGAAATTAAAAACGATACACAATTGCAAAATAATTCCATTGAATTAGATATAGAAAATATTGATATTTCGAATAAAGAAAATAAAAAGAGTTTTGATAATTCTAAAAGTTATTTAATGGCTGTATTAAAGGTAAAATTTTTCTTCCTTCTACTTCCTATTTGTTTGCAATAAATATCGTAATTTTTAAAATTCTTAATGGTTAGATCGAATTAAAAAAAATGGCAACAGAAGGATATCTGTTTGCAAAACTACCGAAATGTTTTTTAATGCCACAACTGCGATATTGGTTGATGTACAGAGAAGGAATAGCTCTTAGTAATACAGATAAATGTAAGTCAAATATTTTCATTGTATTCTGTGTATAAATTAACATTTGCAACGTAATATTTTTAGATAATTCAATACGCAAAAGTGTTAATATGTGGAACATGATAGATACGGTAGCTGCTAAATCTAAAATTAAACCTCCACCGTTAAAAATGATGGAACTACAGCAGAAAGAATTAACTTTCGATAATGCGCAAAAAATAAAAAAAGAGGTTATTCAATACAATAAATACAAAAAGATGTTAAATGTATTATATCAAATTATATTTTATTCATTTATAGATAACAATGAAAAAGAATATATGCTATAGCCAACTTCGCAAGGAACGCGTTTTATATGGGCGATCGATGTGGAATTCAATGGAACACGGAAAATTCCCGTCAATATCATTTAAACAAGCATATTTTACATACATGGCTAGTAAAGAAGCCGATGGTCATGTTTTTAAACCGTGGTTACCTTCGGAAGTACGCGAAATGAATTAAAAAATATATGCTCCATGTTACGTAAAATTTCGTATTTAAATAATCGATCTGAAGGTCGAGTTGTTTTCGACAATCGAAAGGAAGAACTCGAACGAAATAATCGATAGTTTGAGGCCAAGATTTTTAACTCTATTAGCGCATTCTAAACTGTAGAGAATGGATTTCGAGAGTCCAGATGTAGAAAAAGAATTTCCTGGATTATATGCTTCAGAATCAGCCAAAAAGAGTAATGAAAGTGACTGTACGTATTATCACTTGTGTTACCTAATCTTTTTTGCATGACGACTATTTTGATGAAGAGGTTATGCATCTGTCATATGGTTTCCAAATGAAATTGTAAACTATTTTTCTAATTAATGAGATGCTTTAATTAAGTGTTTAAATTACATTTATATTTCAAATAATTACTTGTTACATATACATAAATATATATATATATGTGTGTGTGTATATATATATTTTTAGTTAGTGATGAAGGTGGACATGAAAAACATTCTAAAAAAGAACTCCTTGGCGGTAAACGGAAAGAAAAGAAAGATCGAAAAGATAGAGGATATGCCACCTTAGAGGGTGAAAGTTCTCCTGACGAAGATCAGGAAACAAAGTAATGTTTTTTCATAATATTTTTTACAAATCATAAATCTATTTATTTTAATTTTATTATTATAAGTTCCTTTAACTATTTGACTATTAAAACAAATTATATTTATTAGATTATTATTTCATGTTTAAATAATATTGTTTATAATGAAGGATATGAATACATGAATAAGTATTATCAAGTAGTTTTAATTTCCATATATTATTGGACCTAACATTAATTAAGCATCGTATTAATCTAAAATTAGTTATATTGATTAGACTGTTTAGTATATTTACCTAGATAGTATTTTAAAAACAATCATCCTGAAATAGAAAATTAATTTATCAGCAATATTTATAATCTGATGTTAATTATTTTAATTCTTATTTTTCTGATAAATGTATACTTTTTATGAAAGTATTAATCCTATATATCCAATGAAGTAATGAATTAATCATAAGATAAAAAAAATGAATAAATGGAACATTGTATTTTATGATATATAATGTAAATATGCCTATCATATATTATATACAACTACTTTATTACTTGAATTAGCATATAATTTAACTCACAGAAGTCCTTCAAAGTCAAAAAAAACCAAAGCTTTCAAATTTCCATCAAAAAAAGAAAAACGTGAAAAATCTAGAGAAAAAGAGGGCAAAGAAAAAGATGGTGAAAAGGAAAAAGACAAAAAGAAAAAGGACAAAGATGAAAAAGAAATAGAGAAAGAAAAACGTAAAGAGAAAGAGAAAGATAAAGCAAAGCTAAAATTAAAGGACCGTAAAAAAGGAAAACACATTGGGGAAGATGGATTGGATATTGGGGGTAAGATATATATATATATTTTGTACATATTAGTTTACAGTATATTAAACTAAATTTGTGATCATGTATTTAGAAGAGCAACCAGTATTTGGTGTCAGCCTTCATTTAGCGGTGGAAAGAAGTCGTTGTCATGATGGTGTTGAACTACCTTTAGTTGTAAGAGACTGCATTGACTTTATAGAAGAACATGGAATGAGTGTGGAGGGTTTGTATAAAGTTCCAGGAGTGAAATCAAAAGTTCAGTATTTAAAAAAGTTATATAACCATAGGGAACCTGTGAATTTACCTGAATTTGAACCTACAGTAGCTACAAGTTTATTGATATTGTTTCTTAGGTTTGTATTAATGTAATTAAGTGTAAACAAATGTCTTAAAATAGAAAGTTATAGAAAATTGAAGTTTTAATAATGCAGAGAGCTACCAGAGCCTGTTTTAGAAAGTAGTGAAATGATATCTAGGTTTGAACAAGCAGCATCTACGAAAGATGTTGCTCAAAGAGAAGCACAATTAGTACACTTAACTCAGCAACTTCCTAAGTGTAATAAAATTCTTCTTGCATGGGTTATATTGCATTTAGATCATGTTACAGCACGAGTAAGTTGAAAAAAAAGAAGGAAAATTAAATCATAATATCTATATAAGTAGATCTATCTTATATAAAACTGTATTTAACAGGAAAAAACAACTAAAATGAATGCTCAAACCATCTCAATGACATTGAGTCCTGTATTACAAATGAGTCATAGATTGTTATTAGCTTTGTTATTTCATTGCAAAGCCCTTTTCCCAAATTTACAATTGACAAAATATGTACCACCACTTTCATCTGGTAGCGTTAATCTTCCAGACTCTGTAGAAAGTATTGCAGCTGAATTATCAAAACAAGAATCGTTACTGTCACAGATACACATGCAAATGAACGCAGGTTTCGTTACAAAATCACGCGAGGAACAATTATGGGAAGTACAACGTATGATAACGCAATTAAAGGTCCGATTTTATTAGATTAAAGATTTTTAATTTGAAAACATATAAGAATTATTGGTAGATGTATAAATTTGTGCATATTTTTCTTAGAGAAAATATAAAACGGTTCAAAAAATGGAAGGTGCTGCACAAAAAAGTTTAGATGAAGAAATAAAATCAAATGATGAAACTATAATGGAATCAAATGTACAAAAAATAAAAACAGAAGAGGATAATGCAGAACATATAAAATCGGAAGTACAATCGATATCTACATTGACAATGAAAAAAAATAACAAAGTATATGTTTCAGACGACAATAAAGAACTAACAAGTACAAATATTATTCAAAGTGAACGAAATGTTCATACACTTGACAAAGATATTGTTGATTCTGCTGAAACATCTACACTTATATCACAATTTAACAAACAAGAAAATACTTCATCAAAAGCAAATGAAAATGGTACACTTGTTGCTTAAAATTAGTTTATAATGTATATTAGTTTATAATTGTATTACTTTAGTTTTAGCAGTGGAATCCGAACCCGAAAATGCTATTGACAAATTGAGAGAAAGTTTAATTTATGAAGAGTTACTAAATATGCAAGCATTACTCAAATCGCGAATAAATCAAGAAAAGAACGAAATTAAACGATTAATGGAAATATTATCAGAACGTGGTCAGGAAAAGAAAATACCAAAGGAAAGAGTACATTCGCCAAATGAAGCAGAGATGACAGCTATGATTCAACTAATCAAAGAAAATCAATTACTCGAGGTACTTGTAATAGATTTATAATATGATTTATTAATTTGAAATTAATGTTTACTAATTGTATCTATTCTTGTTTAGAAAAAAATTACTACATTAATTCGCAGTATCATAGAAGAAAAAGATGCTTGCATAGAACTTCGTGTCCAACTAGCAGTTTATCAGTTAACAGTTAAAACCTGACTATTAATTATAAAATATTTTTAATTTATCTAAAAAACATTACACCGATTTTGAAATTATGTAACATGATGTTTTGCACAGAATGAACATATATAGTTTATAAGATGTTACTACAACCATGTTTTCTTGACTCATTCTATTCCCTTGTAAAATAAAAAAGAAAAAAAATTGAACATGGACATTTGTGTTTTGTACTTAACATCAAAACTTCTTTTTTGTGTATATACATGTATTTTATTATCATTCATTTGCATTCAGTATAATTACATTAGTAACATAGACAAATCTGTGTACTTTCATATATACTATGTTTTATGTATTCGTTTAAAACAGGTATACTATTTTATACAATATTAAAACAACAAAGATATCTGTAAAATATGGACTCAATAATTTTTTCCATAAAATATTAAATATTTTGATCAACATCAAATAATAATATTTAGTATTTGTTTCTTTCAAATAAGAAAAAGAATACATTTTCACAGATGAAAATTTTATATTGGAATGTAGGATCAAAAAGTATAAAGTTATACAATCATATTTCTTTTTCTATATTAATACTGAATAATATATTACACTTTACACAATCACTTGTCTTAAGTGATTATACGCACAAAACATTACTGTTAAAATCGTATTTTAACGATATATAATCAACGTTAAATCATACAAGGTCTTGACCCTTTGAATATGAGTTCTGTAACAGTACACTTATTATTGTCTAACCATTTTATTTATTTAAACATTTATTTTAATTTTATTTTAGATTTAATTAACAGAAATATTGCAATTTTATTAATATAATGCACTTTCGGAATTCTATAAACACTTAATTCTTTTCAATGTAGTTACTTAAACTGGGTCAGACCTTCCCTTTTTCTCATTTACAATTTTTTCTATAGTATTTAAAAAATACAAGAAATTTAATTATAAGTATTAAGAAAAATTAATGACGTGAATCTCTCGGATAAAATTCGGCGAGAATGTTAGTAGGAATTCGTTTAAGCATCTCTTTTGGAAAGATACGTAACAATTGCCAACCAATATCCAATGATTCAAATACTGTACGATTTTCATAATTTCCTTGAGAAATAAAGTTCTTCTCAAATTTGGAAAGAAATTCTAAATATAGCAAATCATCTGGTGTTAAAGCTTCTTCACCAACAACAGCTTTCATAGCTTGTACATCCTTTCCAATAGCATAACAGGCATACTAAAATAAAATTATCAAATTATCAATACTTTAATTTCCTAAATACCATAATTAAAATAAAACATAAAACTTACCAATTGATTAGATACATCAGAATGATCTTTCCTTGTCCAACCTTCACCAATAGCAGACTTCATAAGACGAGACAATGAGGGAAGTACATTAACAGGTGGATAAATTTGCCTATTATGAAGTTGACGATCAACATAAATTTGTCCCTCAGTAATATACCCAGTTAAGTCAGGAATAGGATGAGTAATATCATCATTTGGCATAGTTAGAATTGGAATCTGAGTTATGGAACCATTACGACCTTCTACTCGACCAGCTCGTTCATATATAGTTGCTAAATCGGTGTACATATAACCAGGAAAACCTCGACGTCCTGGTACTTCTTCACGAGCAGCTGATACTTCACGGAGAGCTTCGGCATAAGAAGACATATCAGTAAGTATAACCAAAACATGTTTTTCGCATTGATACGCCAAAAATTCAGCTGCAGTTAAAGCAAGACGTGGGGTAATAATTCGTTCAATAGTTGGATCATTAGCCAAATTCAAGAAGAGACAGACATTTTCCATAGAACCATTTTCCTCAAAATCTTGTTTGAAGAAACGGGCAGTCTCCATATTCACACCCATAGCAGCAAATACAATAGCAAAGTTGTCTTCATGAGAGTCAGAAATTGACTTTTCAGGTAACTTTACAAGACCAGCTTGGCGACAAATTTGTGCAGCAATCTATGTAATTAAACCAATTTTAGTAAATATAGGTAATGAAAAAGGTAAATCAGTATAATAGATTATCTCAGCCTAAGTACCTCATTGTGTGGTAAACCAGCAGCAGAAAAAATTGGAATTTTTTGTCCACGAGCAATAGAATTCATAACATCAATAGCTGAAATACCAGTTTGAATCATTTCTTTAGGATATATACGTGACCATGGATTGATTGGTTGACCTTCAATATCCAAAAAATCTTCCGCAAGAATAGGAGGACCTTTATCAATTGGTTTTCCAGATCCATTAAATACACGGCCTAACATATCTTCAGACACAGGGGTCCGAAGAGTATCACCAGTAAATTCACAATGAGTATTTTTTGCATCAATGCCAGAAGTACCCTCAAACACCTGAACAACAGCTTTAGAACCAGATACCTCAAGTACCTGACCAGATCTCATGGATCCATCAGCAAGTTTCAATTGAACAATTTCTGCAAACTTTGGAAATTTAACTTCATCTAATATTACCAATGGTCCATTTACACCTGAGACAGTCTTATATGCTATAAACATAAAAAAATATCAATTTTTTAAATATTCAACATCATTTATATATGATAAACATTTCATGTATAAGGAAAATTTTAGAACATAATATAAATAAGCGTGTATTATAAAGAACTCTGTTAAATTATTATACAGTACTTGTATGTATAGTCACATGATAGATATCTAAGCTCGCACTAAAAACTATTTTTGATTCGTAATTAATGTATTAAATCTAAATATGTGTTCATTCAAAGTATTTATATACATTAGAATTATCTTTTCCCGTTTATTGCAAACAATTAAAAATCAAATACATTTTAGATCAGCTGACTAGTGACAAATCGATCCGCTGCTACGCCCAGTTTATGTCGAGCACTTGCACTTTTCAAGTATTCTGTTACTCAATTTTAATAAAATAAATGTAAGTACTTACTAAGCCGTGGCTGTGAAATAAAATCTCTTGAAACCGCTAAAATATGTTCTTTAGTTGCTTGATGTTCCCCAATAGTTTTCGGATACATTTTGTCGAACGATTTCCTTGATCTGTTACGTCCACCAAACAGCAGAAGGTACTGCTATTACTGCTTCGATGAAAGAAGACGAAGACTAAGTATTGAGAGTGGGGAGAACTTCAAATATCTAATTTAAATGAATAAAAATGTTATAATATGTTTTACAATAGACAACTAAGATCACTTACATATATTAATGTGAATGAAACACAAATTTTTTATTAAGTAGTAGTCTTACATTAATAAAATTTCCAATTAAATAAACTTTATTTTGACACACTGATAGATACAATGAACAACAAGTATCTGACAAAGATAGAAGCAAGGCACGTGCGATCACGTGGCTTATACTAACTAATTCATTGCATATTTATTATTAAAAAATTTTTTTATTAAGTTATATGTTGCAGTATAAATGTGTTATAAAAAAATATGAAAAATTATTTATAAAAAGATATTCTAACATTTTATCATATGCATATATATTATTTGAATTACTATTTTCTTCTTGTCAAAGCGGTTTATTCAAATATATATATTAAGCAGTTTTAATAATATATTCAAGCGGTTTTAACAGTAGTTATAATATTTAAAACCTTATATTATTATATTATTTTTAATTATTTTTCACGGTATTTTTCTCATTATAAAATCCAATTTTACAAATGAAAATTTTTTCAAAAATAAAGCATTAAAAATTACCGCAAATAATATTCATATTTTCAAATTTTATAATACATTATTTCGATAAAATATATAATGTTTAATTTAATTGTTTTGAAAAATGAAAGATTGAAAAATTTTTCTATTTCTACTCACACCAATTTTTATAATGCTGCCTTTAGTTACGGACCTGATACTGACAATTTCGCGCCGAGAAGGCACGAGTGTGCAGTGAGACACGGTGGCGGCTGGTTGGAGGATATATGTGCATATAAGAAATTTAATTTCAACTAATATTTTTAATTTTTTATCATTTTTTTAAATTTTGAATTTTGTATATATTTTATAATTTACCTACAAAATTATTTTTATCGTCGTTCCAATCGACACTGTGTACTCATACTCCACTGACAGAAAAATATTATATCTGAATCATGGCGACTGTTAAACGAATGATCAACCTATCTAAAACTCTTAAAATGATGACTACATCTCGTCTTTGCTGTTTCCAAACATTGAAAAAGACCTATTTTACGTACGTGAATGAACCTTCTATGCCAATATTAGGCAAAGAACCGTGTTGGCTCAAAAGTGCCGATGAAGCTATCGAAAAAGCAGAGTTAGATTCGGGTAATTATTTTTTTTATAGTATATTAAGTATGTTAATAATAGTTTAGATACTTTATTTCATTGTTTCGTTTAAACTATAATCCTCTTAATTTATATTTTAAGGTCATTCTAACGCAAGTGTTATTTTTTAAAAACTAACCTTGTATTGCAAAAATAAATTCAGGTGTCAGTGTCTCTTTTGACACAATTGTATGCTTGTGTTATAAAAGAGAATGCATTTTTTTTAATTTATGTTTGTTTCTGAAACAACGTAAAGAAAAAAAGCTTTGTTTAATCTTTAATTTCAATTTTTTCGTAAAATTGTTAATAGCAATAATATCTTTTCTATTTAACTGATTAACAGTTCATGTATATCGTCATGTCGACCTGTTAATTTTTGCATCCATTTATTTCGTGAAATTATACCTTATAAATTATTGCTTAATTATAAACCTAAAATTCAAATAACACATTATCTCTAATCAATTGCTTTTATTTATTTTCACATAGTTTATTCGTAGGAAAATCTTTTTGGATGACAGATTTCTCCACGATGTAATTTTTACAATTATTTACAAGATTTACAAAATACGGAAATTACGTGTATATAATAATGCGTTTAATTTTAAATATAATTTGGGTATTTATTCCACTTTAGGTAGTTCTTTGTGTCCAAATTATATGATCTCAATTTAGAAAGATAATATTTATTGTACAAGGCTTCCGTGTAAGCCATGTATACCAGAACCTTTATTCCATTGTTTCATCGACATTGCAGCTAGTTGTAAAAGTCAAGTATACATATATTAGTACTACATATTAATCAGCAATCAAAAGTTTTCAATAATTTGACAAATAATTGATCGATCGAATTTAAATATTGATATGTCGAAACTTTGATTATTAAGACGTTTGTTTTCCTAAGTTGGGATATCAAATATAGGGATTATCAAATATAGCATATCACGTAAATATGTCAAGTATATATATAGATATAAACAACAAATATGCAACGTGATCGCATACAACGATTCTTGTATTCGATCAAGCGTATTAACATACACATTCTATTCTTAAATCTTCGATATATAAATTATAAATAAATCGATATATAAATCCCGAGAGATAAAATATTTTATTATAAAGATTATAATATACTTATTAATGTCATTATTTTTAAGGTGAATAACTTCTGTTCTATTTATAGTTAAAAGTCGTTATGTAACCAAATAAGCTTAAATGATCTTATATTTACGTAAGTTATAGCGATGATGAATTTTGATCTTATCAATGGAGAAACATATTACACAGAAAATTGAAAAGTGTACCTTATATATATAATTTAGAATGATTCAAATTAATTACTACACCTTGCCAAAATAGAACACTAATAATAAGATCAAAGTTATTAAAAAAATATATATGTATATAAATAATATCCATACAAAATATAAGTATTCAGTAAAAAAATGTTTTACAATGAATAACAAATATTTAAAAATTATACTTTTTAAAAAATTATAATGGCGAAATTTAAAAAATTAAAATTCGTAATATGTAACACAAATAGTTATATTCATACATACATTATACATTATTGATAGCAACTGAATTTTAAATGTCTACTATTTTCGTCTATTATCAGTATTATTATTCTCAGTTATTCCTAATTACTATTATTTTATTATTTTTTAGATCAAGTCGTATTCGTTCAGGGTGCAGCGGCAACACCTACTGAATTATTAAGAGCAATGACCGATTATGGTGTCCGAAGCGACGTGAGAAATGTACAGTTGTATCATATGCATCTCGAGGGTTCCGCACCGTTCGCTAAACCAGAAAATGCAAGTATGTAATCTTGTATTTTGCTCGTATTACTCAAACTAGCGCAGTAAGCTTGACCAGTTACTTTGTTAAAGATTGTAGTTCACAGCTAAAGTAATTCTTCCTTTGTTTCATTTTTGACTGTTTTTGATAACTAAAATATTCAATTTTTAGCCTAGCTAAATTTTTTAAATATAATATTAAAATTTATTTTTAATGAACGTTAATGAATAGTAGAATTTGATTATACATTATGACACTTTGTATGCAGAACATTTCAAATCCATTAGTTTCTTCATTGGAGGCAATGTAAGATCAGCTGTTCAGGCAGGAACTGCCGATTGCATTCCAATTTTCTTACATGAGATCCCACGAGTGTTTAATGAAGGCTATCTGGAGCCTGACATTTCCCTTATTCACGTTAGTCCTCCAGATGAAAGAGGATATTGTTCACTCGGTACTAGTGTAGATTGTGTACGATCTGCCGTGAGCCATTCCAAATACATCGTAGGTAAATTTTCGACAATTCTCAAATTCACTTGATACGTTAGAATTGTCCTTTGATTAATTCTTCTTTGTTGTTGCTTATAGCATTAGTGAACAAACATATGCCAAGAACATTTGGCGATGCTGTGATTCATGTTAGCCATTTAGATTTTGCTGTAGAACATCATGAGCCACTTCCAGTACATCCTATAAAACCTCCGTCGAAAGAAGAACAACAAATTGGTAAATATATAGCCGAGAATTTAGTAGAGAACGGAGCTACGTTACAAATGGGTATCGGAAGCATACCAGATGCGGTGCTATCGCTTCTGGGGAATCACAAAAATCTTGGAATCCATAGTGAGATGTTTAGCGACGGTGTAGTAGAGTTAGTGGAGAAGGGATGTGTGACAAACAATTGTAAAACAATGCACAAAGGTAGAATCGTCGGTTCATTCTGCGTTGGTTCACAGAAGTTGTACGATTTCATGCACAATAATCCTTTTATAGGTAGGTATATTTTTTCGAACTTTTCCCTGTAATTGAACTTAAATAAACTTACTACTTGGTGAATTTTTCAGAAATGTTGGTAGTGGACTATGTAAATAATCCAAAAATAATAGCCAAACAACCAAACATGACGGCCATTAATTCGTGTGTAGAAGTTGATATTACGGGTCAAATTTGTTCTGACAGTATCGGTACTAAAATGTATTCTGGATTCGGAGGTCAGCTAGATTTTATTATGGGTGCAGCACTTAGTGATGATCGACAAGGAAAACCTATTATTGCATTACGATCTGTTACTACGAAGGGTGAGAGTAAAATTCAACCCGTTCTAAAATTAGGTATATAATTAATATCTTTCTACCATTTTATCTTTGTTCTATTTGAGATCTTTATATTTATCGTTCATTTTAAGGTGCTGGTGTTGTTACAAACAGAGCAGTTGTTCGATACGTTGTTACAGAACATGGAATTGCTAGTTTATTTGGTAAAAATCTTCAACAGCGATCATATGAACTGATTCAAATTGCTCATCCCGATCATAGAGAAGCGTTAGAAAAAGCAGCATTTGAACGTTTGAAAGTAATGCCAGCGCCATAAATACTTCGTTAAAAACAATGTTAAACGGACTCTTTTAATAGCATTTCGTGATACTCATTTCTTATAAGCACAAACATCTGTGTATTGAAAAAAACTTTAATAAACCGTTTCATAATTTCATGTAAATTATGCTTCCTTATCGAAAGAATAATATAAATTTGAGAGAAAAAGTATCAAAAATAGAATTTCAACATTAGCAAATTGCATTTCTAATAAATGATCATAAAAACTTTTTCTTTTTAATGAATAAAAATATATTTATTTCCAAAATAAAAATATATAAGTTCTTATTTCAACTTCTAATGTTATAAATACAATCAAAATATGGTTGTTAACCAAATAGTATAATGATAAATACTTTTTACATGAAATTTAAAAACGTTCCTGTGTAAAATGCAATTATTGTAACGATTGAGAGTATATGGTATTTGAAACAATAAATTAAAAATAGAATATGTATAAAATATTATTTTGTTGTAATCTTTTCCAACTATATCGAATAAAGTACAAAATAAAAATATATATTTTAACGTATATCGAAAAAAACTGAAAAATCGAATACCGGTAAATCCGACGTTCAAATACTAATCGTGGAGATGGCAACGGATCTAATGTGATTTAACATAAACCGACATTTAAAATCAAAGAAATTTTTTAGATTATGTGTCATCCAAATTTCGACGTAATTACCGTATATGCTCTACCGCATCGACAACTTTTAGCAAATTTTAATCGTTTATATATTTTTTGACTTGTCATACATTATCTTTTATCGAAATGTTTGGTCTTAATTTTCGTCGAAATTTGGAGTCAACATTTGGTAAAATTTTACCATCAAAACCCTTTAACATGTGCGGTTTAAGGTACATACGAGAACCTTTACAACCTTTAAAACGATGTCCACGATGGGTTTGCGTAGAAGATGCAGTAAAAATTATTAATTCAGGTACTTAATTTCATGCAACATTTATATAATTTAAATAAATTTACCAAAATATAATGTATAGCTAAGTAAATATATCTTAAATTAACATTTTTTTAGAACATTTAGTTTTTATACAAGGAGGTGCTGCAACACCTAATGAATTAATACGTGCCATGACAGAACATGGTGTTTGTAATAACTTACGTGGGGTACGATTGCTTCATATGGGGCTTGAGGGAGATGCACCATTTGCAAGTCCTGAATTTGAGAGTACGGTATTCTATAACTTGAAATAATGAACATAATATACTATTTGTATATTACGATTATAATTGTCTTTCAGAACATTTTAGATCCGTAAGCTTTTATATCGGTGCCAATCTTAGAGAGGCCGTTAATGAGGGCAGAGCAGATTATATTCCAATATTTCTACACGAAGTACCGAAACTTTTTTACGAGAAGAGAATTGTTCCAGATGTTGCATTAATTCATGTCAGCGTACCAGATGCTCGTGGCTTTTGTTCTTTAGGTGTAAGCGTAGATTGTACACGCGCTGCGATTAGTTCAGCCAAAGTTATTGTTGGTCAGTAAGAATTTAGCAATAAATAAATGGTAAACTTGAAAGACAATAACAATTACTTTTTTCCTTATTTAGCCCAAGTTAATGAACATATGCCAAGATCATTTGGAGACACTGTCATTCATTCTAGTCATATTGACTGGGCGGTCAAATACGATTGTCCTTTACCATGCGTAGCTAGTACTCCGCCGAATGAAATTGAACAAGAAATTGGAAAAATCATTGCACAAAGATTAGTAGATGATGGAGCAACCTTACAACTTGGGATTGGCAATATACCCGATGCTGTCCTTTGTTCTCTTGGTAATCATAAAGACTTAGGAGTTCACACAGAAATACTTGGCGATACAATGGTAGATTTAGCAGAACGAGGGAATATTTCAAATAAAATGAAAATAAAACATAGAGGACGTATGGTCAGTTCTCTAGCAATTGGTACCAAACGAGTCTACGATTTTTTACATAACAATCCATTTGTAGGTGTGTATATATACAACGTCAACAAATTTTTAATTTATAAAAATTTGATATTTCTGCAAATAATGCATTTCTGCAATATTTTTCATTTGTATAGAAATGCTTGCAATTAATTATGTAAATGATCCTCGAGTAATATCGCAACAACCAAAAATGACAGCTATTAATTCTTGTATAGAAATGGATATTACTGGTCAAATATGTTCTGATAGTTTAGGCTGTAAAATGTATTCTGGATTTGGTGGTCAGCTTGACTTTACTCGAGGTGCAGCGATGTGTCAGGATGGTCGAGGAAAAGCCATAATTGCATTTCCTTCGGTAACGAGTAAAGGAGAAAGTAAAATTCAGCCTGTAATTAAGCTTGGTATGAAATCAAATTCTATATACATTTATCAATGTGAACTAAATTTCTTTAACATAGTTTATGAATAGCGTTAAAATTTATTTAATAGGTGGTGGAATCGTAGTAACAAGAGCACATGCACACTATATAGTTACTGAGAATGGAGTAGCAAATCTTTTTGGTAAAACGTTACGTCAACGGGCAAATGCATTAATTCAAATTGCTCATCCTGATCATAGAGAATGTCTTGAAAAAGCTGCATTTGAAAGACTTAAATCTAATCCAACAAAATATTTATAATTTAGGTGTACTAATAATATATTTTATAAAATTTTGTAATACCATTTAACTTCATTGCATGTGATGAAGTTCTTACCGCGACATTTATGTTACAAAATTTTAATGTAAATCCTAAATGTTTCTTTTGCATAGAAAAAAGTGAAATAATTAACAAAAATAATTATCATGAAATTAATTTTTTTTCATTTGTTATATATAATTTGAATAAATAATATATTTCTAATTCTTAGTTGAAAAATACAAATATAAAGTAAAATTTCGCGAACGCATGTGCTTATTACACGCCTAACCCGCATGCGCACACTACACCCTCCCTTCCTCTTTTACTTACTCTTTCTATATGTATATAATAAATTATATATTTATTAAAATACACAAACACACATATACATATATATATATATATGTGTGTATATATACAGATGTAATTTTTTATTTATAAATATATTGCACACATTATACGAATATTTATAAAAAATTTATACCTTCTGGTAATGTCCCTTCTCGACGTCTCTTTTCAACGTTTTCATAGTATTCAGAAAAGTTTACATAAGACTTAATTCTGGTATTTCTGTTTGTCGATCTTGTACCTGGAGGATATATATCAGATGTTGATGAAGTTTCAGTTGTTGAAAAATCAGAATTTTCTTCTGTAATACCAGTACTTGAATAATCATTCCCTGGTATTGTTGTAATTGGAGCAGATTCTACAATTGGATTAAATCTGACTGATTGATTAGTAGGGCTTCTTAATGCATGAGGAAGCGGAAAATTAAAATTTCGTACGAGAAGAGTAATATCATCTCGTTTACCACTAGTTATTGTACTATGTAAGTTACTCATATTATTATCATGATGAATTCTTACAACTTTATCTACGACCGCTTGAGCAACTCCTGTTAGAGTGGACTGTGCTTGAAACTGAAATTTATTTTATGGGAATAAGAATATTGTATATACTAGCATTAATAATCATATCATACCTCCTGAACAGCAAAATTAATTAATTTTATATTAACTTGATCAACTCCAGTTACTTCTTCTAATGACTTATAAAGTCCACGAGACATAAGTAACAAAAATTTGCAAGAATCATCAAGTTCTATCCCACCATGAATTTCTGGTTCAGCAATGACAGGTTCTGCTGTGGCAGATGCTAATTCTTCAAATTCTCTATACCCCCCTTTAACAAGATAGTTTCCAAGACAACGCGTAGTTTCTTGATTTCCAAGACGAGATCCTATAATGTACGTTATTATTAAATATTTTAATATTTAAGAATATCAAAATTAAATATAATTTTGTAAAACTACCTTGTCTTATAGATTCAATATCCAATTCTAAATGAGATAGTCTCAACAGTTCATCTTCATTTCTTAAGTCATGGTCTACACTTAATTGTACAACTCTTAATACTTCATTAGAATCAGTTTTACATAATAAAGCTCTACTATCACCAATATTTGCAACATACAATCTTCCATGATATATAAGAGCTACAACTGCACTAGTACCTACTGACAACTCACAATTTAGTGCATTTAACTTATCAACCTATACAAAAAATTTATGTAAATAATACTTAACATTAAGAAAATTCATATTATACAACATACTAAATGTGTTTAACTAACCAAATGAGGAAATTTTTGATATGTTTCATAGGAATTTAAACCATCAGGTATATCAAATTGTAAACTAGTTCTTTCAGCTAAAAGATCTCCAATTGAATCTAAATATCCTCTTTCCACAGCTATAAATGCTTGTCTATGATAATAAATTATATAATTATACTTTTATTACAAAAATATATAAATCACAATTTATAATCTTTATTTTTTATTATATACTTTACCTAAGAACTTCTTTAACTTCTTCATTTGTTGATTTGCCATTTAATTGCCCAAGTAAAATCTCTGCAGCCATTCGTTGCATAGCAAAATTTGCAACTTTTGTACCTTCATGACCATCAAATACTCCATAAAGAAACGTTGAATCATCATAACGACAATGAAAGCTACGATCTTCAAATGGATGTTCCTCCTGCCTGTATCCATCCTCGCGATAAATTTGATTCGTAGAAAATCCTACTCCTGATCAGATATTTAAGAAATATAAACATTAACAAAATTATTTATTTATAGGTTATATGGCTAAATTTTTACGCACCAGATTGTTTACATACTGGCAAATCATCCGTCCAACTATATTGAGCATCCTGAAAAGGTATCAAATTAGGGCGTTCTGCCCTAGTTGGCATTGTTAACGAAGAAGAAAAAACTTTAACAAAAATTTCAATTGATGTATATGCGAACTTACGTTTCTAACATATCGACTGCATATCGATTCATGTTGATTGAAGATATCGAGAATTTCGCAATAATCGATTAAAGTTATTTAAACCAAATATTTTAAAATATAATACTTCTATTTTTCAATTACTGCATATTATTTAAAGTTTTTATTATCTATATTCATTAATCTATTGCTATTTATATATATAAAATGTAGCAATAGGTTTACATAACATATAAAATGTAAAATAAAAATGTATATCTATATAATATAAAACATTTAATAGTATCATATAAAACATGAATTACAAAATTATTTCAGCATTTTTTCGTCTATATCACAAGAAATATTATCTTATCAGTTAGTATATATTATTCTATATTTTATTTTGGAAAATTTTCATTTTTTTTGACAACAGATATATATTGCTAAAAACAAAAGCAGTTTTTATTACGAAATTTTATCCTACCTGCCAAATTATATGACATTTCGATACATTAACATTTATAAAAATTTTAGTAATTAATAAACGATTAAGTTAATTAATTTTAAATATGTTATAACTCTGATTATATCGTAATGATACTATCATTAATTCTATAAAGCACTTGCAATATGAAAACCTAACGAATTTTTTTTAAATATAAATGAAATTAACAGTCATCTACAGAAGAACATAAATTGTTGAAAAGGTTATTAGTGTATACAAGTATATTCATTTAAACATTACTAGTACGTTTTTCATTATATATAAAATATTAGTTATACGATATCAATATTTAATATTTAATTATTATCTTTAATCTACATAAAAGAGAAAATGAGTCGAAATCCACGATCAGTTGGTGGAACAAGAACTCAACAACTTCGGCATGCAAAAACTTCCGCAGTTTTGAGAGATTACGAACAAAAAGAAGAATTGTTAACTAGGCACCAAGCGGATCCATTTAAAGTACGCAAAAAATACATTAGACCTGATCCAAAAAAAGTGGATTTCAGTAAACCTACAATGACTAAAGCAATGTTAGCTAAAATAAAACAAGTGGAGAAACGTAAGGAAGAATATGAACGTAAGCAAGAGTCATTAGCACCTGGTCGAGTACCTAAAAGGACACCTGTACCCGTAGGAGGTGATGCCAGGTCGCGATGATAGTTAAACTTAATTGAAATAAATGACGCGATATTTATTGAGATACATAATAAATTCCTCTTTTCTTTTATTTTTATTAAGCTTTATAGCATCGATATAAAATAATTATTAATGTAACAAAAAATAAATTAATTAATTCAGTAATTTCCATAATATAAAATTTCCATTATCATATACGAAATTATTTTAAATTAGGATGAAAATTTGAAGTTAGACCCAGTTATCCATCTACTAGTAAAAGAAGTATGAGTCCAAGAGCACCAAGATCTCCAGTCCAAATGTTATCTAGGAAAACTACTGAATTAGCCAAAATGATGAATGCTGACATAGTTCAAACTAATCCTATAGGTGAAGGAATAATTCATAATATTGTAATACCTCCTGGATTAGTGAGCGATGATCGTACTACCATTGTCAATATACCACAACCAACTGTAGATACTGACTCAAGATCACAAGTAGCTAATCGTTCAATTCAAGTGATCAGGTGATTTTATAAAATTTTTTTTATTTGCAATAGCAACACAACATATTTCATCTTTGATAGTGAAACTCTTGATGAGCAAGATGCTGCTGAATCTGCAGCAGTACAAAATAGATTATCAGAATTACAACAAGCTAGAAGAGATTTTGTTATTGCTGTTGCGAATGTTGGTGGTAATGCTCTTCATCTTGAAGATGAAACTTCTCTGTCCCTCCTCCCTGAATCTCCTCCCATATCTCCTTTGTATCAAGCTCCATCAAGACATTTAATCCGGTAACATTTCAAATATAGTTCAATTAAACGAAATACAATTATATTTAATAATGATTTCACATAGAGTCCCTGAGTTACATGATGAATATCTGCAACCTATTTATGGATCAGATCACCCAGATCTTATAGCTGCTCGTGAACATATGCAAAAAATTAAAGCTGATATTGCAGAAAGAGAAGCAGCAAGAAGAATGGAAGAGGACTTTAGAAGAATAGCAGCAGCAGAACATATGTCAGATGATTTACATTTAGACATTCCTTTCGAAGAAGAAATTTTTCAAGAAAGAGATATATCTTGGGAAGAAGATGAAAGTGGTATGGCTATGCCTCTTCCATCTAGGATAAAAGCACATTTGCCTCCTATTCCTAAACAAGAGAAACCTTATCAATACGAGCCTTTTGATCCAGCACAATTAGAAAAATTTTTTGACATTCAAACTCATCCACCTTGTCCACAATGTAGACCACCACCAGGTAGAGAAGATTTACATCCCGATCTTTGGGAATTAGATGATCCATGGTTTAAGCCACCTCCAGAACCTGATGAGCCAGATTTAATACAATTTGACTAATGAAATATTCATTTTTTGTCTTACACTTCTAAAATTTGCCATATACAGTTTTTTAATGGTAATTTATTGTAAAATAATTATGCCTGATATGACATATAATTACTATATACATGTAAATAGTAATAGTAATAATTATTCTTTAATTAGACAATACCCAATTAACAAAATTTTATATTTAATATGGATTACCGAACGTAAAATTTTGTATTAATTAGAAAATAAAAATGGTATTTTCAAATATATATAACATAATTTATATACAATATACATTTTTTATTATTTGTATTTTAAATTAACTTTATGTGTATCAACATTGTAAATGATTGATAAATCCTCAATGATTAATAAAGTATAACAATATAGAGAATATAATAAAATTATTGATAATCGAGACATATCGATTATCATATAAAATATCACTTGACTAACGTGGTACATATAGACGCTGAAATGTGTGATCCACAAATTTAATAACATATTACGGTATTCCTATTACTATGACACAATATATAAAATTGTTAAGAATTGTGCAGAACGTATTTATTAACAATTGTGTGACGCTTTATTTAATTATGAAGTTTTATCATGTTATTTTTTTGATGCACATACATATTAATTACGGTTTTTGTATTTGTATTTCAAACATTTATAATAACAAAATATAAAATATCACAAAAATAAATTAATTATATTTGACAATAGATTGTATTTATGTATAAATACTACAAGTATAATGGCGACACCCACTAATGGTAACGGTAATCTCATTGACGAATTTGAGGAAGCATTCCAGGTATGATACGAGAATTGTTTTAGTCTCTAAGATGATAAGTTTTTAAAAGAATATTTTAATGATTACAAATTTGTTTCCTTTTTTTTACATAAAACACAATTTGTAGCAATGTTTGAGTATATTAATAACGAAAGACGAAGGGTTAGGAAACAATGGAATTGGAGTATCTAGTGGTTTGACTGTGGATAAAGAGGAAGCACGTAGTGAAGTTGAACAAGTCACATTAAGATTTATAGATTTGGCAAGACAAATGGAAGCTTTCTTTCTACAAAAACGATTTTTGTTGTCTGCATTGAAACCAGAATTAGTAGTCAAAGAAGATATCAATGATCTTAGAGTAGAATTAGCACGTAAAGAAGATCTGATAAAAAGGCATTATGATAAAATTACAGTATGGCAGAATCTGTTAGCAGATTTACAAGGCTGGGCAAAATCTCCTGCTCAAGGTCCAGCACCTAATGGTAAGAATCAAAAAAATGTTACAAGATGATAACGTAATCAATAATTTCTATATACTTTAGGATTACCTAATGGTACACAAAGTGGGCAAAATCAACAAAGTGCCAATGGTGGTGGAAATGCAACAATGCAGCAACAACAGCAAATATTACAACATCAACAACAACTCCAACAACAACAACAGTTGCAACATCTACAACAACATCAAATGCAACAACAACAACTTCATCAGCAACAGGTATTTAAGTAATACCGTTACGAGCAAAGCTGAAACTCTTGTATTCAGGCAGCTGTTTAAAATTAGTGTTGAGAAAATTTTTTTAATGACAGATATAATTAAAAAAAAAAATGTGCGACAGCGAAAATTGTATATTTGCAGAAAACTACTTTTGCTGTAGCGGTTATAGATAGAAGTTACATCTTGAATCATCATTCTTTAAGATCTGTCTCACTTTAGTTGTAAATTCAAACAATATTAATAATGTAAATTATTGAATTTGTTTATACAAAGTATCATTGCAGTTACACATATATCACAAGCTTATTTATACTCACTGTAATGTTCTCATTTCAAAATGGTATATTTATTATTACTAGGTTTCTATATTATTTGTTACAATTTAATACTGAACGAATATTGATGTTGGATGATTGTATGTATCTGTGTGTATGCATGTGGGTGTGAATGTATAAAATGTATATAAATAGATTAAACTGTTAAGTAATCTTTTTATGATTGAAATACTTATCAGAATTTTAGAAACTATTTTTGCTCCTTTTTTTTCTAAATAATAGTTATTTAGGACACGAAACCACTCAGTCCTATTGCACAAAAGCAACGTATACTAGTGTTGCATATAATCAGTGCCTTATATAATTCCTATCGACAAAAATGAAATATGTAAGAACTAAAAAATTAAAGTGCTTTTATTAGTAGCTGCGATATAAAATTACAGAAACATAAATTTCATTTATGAAAAAGGAAAGTATCAAATAGATATACTTGCATAAGTATGTTGTAAAATGGTGCCAAAATAATTGCTATTAAAATGTGTACAAATATTTAGCCAAAAAGTGACATAATAAATCTGATAACGGCAATAATAAAAGAAAAATAAGCATATTACATTCGCTTGGCATTAGTATACCTAATAATCCCTACAACCTATAAATATATTAGGAGCAGGTAATGATATTTCAAATTACATAATAATCATATTTTCATGTTACTTAATAATTATTCAAAATTAAAACATATACCTGCAAATATGTACACATCGTTTATATATCTTAATATTTCTTTCATATTTTATTTCCATATAACATAGTACATTTGTTTATGTCATATATCGAAAATTATTATAAATTTGATATATTTTTCTATATTTATAAATTTCTTTATTTATAATACAATGAATATCTTTTGCACGTAAATATGTATGCATGCATTTTGCATCAGTGTAAGAGCTATAAAAAAAAAGAAACAATTCAAAAGAATATATAAAAAATTTTATCATAAATTATAAAAATTAAGTCAAAAAATTTATTATTATTTTGCTTATTTTTTAACATTTTATAAATTGATATGTATTTTTTTTATATAATGTTCAAATATGATATTGAATCAAAATATTGCAAGCATTCATAAAGACGAATAATTGCAAAAAAGAAAAAAATTATGCCATTTTACTTATGTTTTTACATGCAAGTAGATGTTTGCAGAATAAATCTCTATTCATGGCAAAAAACATTGTGCTTTCTTTCATTTCCCTTGCCTATCTAATTACTGTTCCTAATACATCCTACTGGTTTGTAAGGATCGGAACTCTTAATTTCACTTGTAAATTTATGTATTCAAATATATTGCATGTATGTACAGCATTTCTGAGATTTTCTTTTAATAATCTCAATGCTATCTTCGATTCTCTTAAGTGCTTACTTTTCATTCAACATCATTTATGATCAAAACTTGTTTAAAAAAAGAATTATATCAAGTACAATGGCAAAAATATTATGATAGAATATATAATCTAAAATTGCAGGTACAACAAGGATCCGGTGCACCTCCGCCATCGGGTCTCCAAGGAGTTGGGGTTTCAGTTGGACAACAAGGGATGTTTATGACACAAGGAGCAGTAGGTACACGGGCTGGATTTTCTGTTGGAGGTGTAGGAAGTAGCGCCCTTCAGGGTCCGCTCGCTTTCCTAGAAAAGACAACGAGCAATATAGGAATGCCTGAAAAGCGGAGTTGACGCGGAAGGGGGAGGGGCCGGGGTCGGGGTCGAGGAAAAAGCCGAGGAAGAGGACGAGGCGGAGGAGGAAGTTTACCTCCGCCACCACCACTTCTCGATACTTCGGACCCGTCGTCGTATGCTGCTGCTGCCGCAGTTGCAGCTGCTGCGGCAGCGCCCCTTCCCTCTCCACACCAGCAGCCTCCACCATCTTGTACATGAATATATTTACAACAAATTAATTTGTTATTGTAATATATTGTTCCTATATCTAAAATTATTGCGATCGCAGAAAGTATTCTCAAGTATATAGGTTTTATTTTCATTAGTAAAAGAACGAAATGCTTTGTTAATTTAATGTCAAGTATGCAATGATTTTATAATATGCTTATATAAATATGTACGTTAAAAATATGCGCAATGTATGTAAATTAATTATTCTAAAAAAAACAAGGATTTTAATTGAAAAATAATAATTAAATAATGTCAGTTTTATTAAATTGTATATCAATATAAATAATGAACATATAACACTATTTAGTTTCCTCTGAAGAAATATTCTGTATTCATTTGTTAATTGTTGATATTTTACTTTAACGTTTTATATTATTTTCTTTTTATGGTATAATAAATCAGAAAATTATGTAAAGAACATGTGATCTATCTATGAAACAAAATAAGGAGTATATCCCTTAAACTATGTAAGGGAATAAATAGCAAAAACTGTACATAAAAAAATGAAGTACTATCACAAATAGGTTAAAGTACTAACACAAAGTTCACATGTACATAGAATTAGAAATACGACTTTCATGCAATAAATCATATTGTATTTTATTATATTAAGTTTGAATAATTATTAATACTTTTACATATTATGTGTAATATTTTACACGATATTGATCAAAGTCATTAGATGTATTTCAAATGCAACACAAATTAAATATAAATTGCCCAAATTTAATATACCTCCCATAGATATATCTCCATTATATTAAGCTATACTTTGTACAAATTTAGTATACTGTATTCTATTCTATATGATGTCATACATTCAAACATTTTTAATATTGTTGGATCTTTTCTATTCTGTTATTATGACCAGTAATTATTGATACTGTCTTTAATTGCCTCAATAAATGTAACATTTTATATAATGTGAATAAAACAAGCTGTACAAAAAAAATTCATCACATTTGTACTAGGTATTGCTGTACTGTAAAGATATAATTCTGTACACAAATATAATGATTATGAATTTTATAAATTGCGTGTGGATTGAATTTTTATACAATCCGATTTAATTTGTTGTATCAACTCTAGTATGTTTATATAAATGTCGAAATGTAAAACGGGAGGTAAGTGTGGATAAAATACACACACGCACAACACATACATACACGCGCGAGCGCATACACACACATAGAAGTGTATGTATGATGTATGTATTTATGTATAATATATGTATGTATGTATGTGTCTATGTATGTATGTATGTATGTATGTATGTATGTATGTATGTATGTATGTATGTATGTATGTATGTATGTATGTATGT